TATCGACCTTAATCTGTGTGAGGGCGGCATTAGGTTGGTAGAAAAAAAGTGAAACAAAGGTTTGAGTATAAAACATAGAAACGAGGTTGGCAATTTTTTGCCAACCTCAAACACTTCTAGGTTGGCAGTTAGGTCAAAAAAAATTGGCAAAAATTTTGATTAAAACCACCTATTAGAAAGTGTGATGTCAAGTGGGAGCTAGCCTTAGTCAACCAAAGAGGTTTTCATAACAAATTTTAGAAGTGAATGGAGTTTTGCGTCATGTGAAACACATTAGAATTTGGTATGAAACTTAGTCATTATGCCTCTTTCCTGACGTGGAATTAAATGTAGACGGCAATTGTGAAAAGATAGTGGAAAACAGTAATGACTAAAATAATGGTAATTTCAAAAGTAAAATAAAGGTAACTTATAAAGTAAGATAAGCGCACATTGAAGCTAAGAATAGTCTTCAAGAAACAGACGTACCTTTGAACATAAGAGCAATGAATTACGTCACAATGATTAGAGTACTTGCTTAAGAACGAAAAGATCCAGGGTTTGAAGCGAGCTCTGGGAATATTTTGCGCCATCGGAAGAAAAAAATTTCCTAGTTAAATGCTCTTTTGCTGTGTTCTGTGATGAAGACTGTTAGGGTTTCTGTGATAAGACTGTTCGGATTTCTGTGATAAGACTGTTAGGATTTCTTGGTGCACCTAAAACAAAAATTAAAAAACAATAATAAAAATGAATGCTTAAAAAAATTATATGGGTTACTATTTGTATGACCTTTAAAAGTCTAGGAGAAGTGTGATTATATTGCGTAAAATGCTAGAATACTCTTTAATGTGAAGTTGTTTTCAATTTAAGTAGCTATTTAACTGCTAATTACGGTAAATATTTTTGTACCGTTCAAGTTAAATCAATATATGTTTATTTAGGTTTTAATAGTTATTATTCAGGTTTATAAGTTAGCGGTCGTTTATAAAGTACAAAGGCTTTTTTTTCGCTAAAACCTCCCGCCGCCCCCCCCCCCTCTCGCAATTTCCTGTACACTTTTTTGAGTACTCTCTACCTCCCTAAAAGTACCTACGCTTTTAACATACTAACCCAACATTTTATGATATTTTTTTAAATTGAGTGTCACCATACTTTTATAATTGACCTACTGCCCCCTTATCTCAGAAACGCCATTTGTAGACCTCCTCTTCCTTTCCGAGCGTACGTACTTTATGGACGATCCCTTAAGAATTCGTAAAAGAGGTTTTCATTGAGTAAAGAAAAAACGTCTTAATCTTAGTGTGGTATGCGAGATAACTACTTATCTGTTGTTATAGTTGTTTTTGTTTTTACGTTTTTTATTTTTATATTGCGCAATGTGTTTTTGTATAACACTGTTTGTGTAACTGTTATCATTGCGTCCTATATGTATTTAAGGTATTTTTCTTCCTTTAGTACCTTGTTTTCTCTAAAAAATTACGGTGTTGCACAAATTTAAAAGAGATTCAGGTTTTTTTCTGTTGTGAAGTCCATTTTATTTCAATAATGACTGATATGATGTAGGCTTTCGGGCGATGATAGAGGTTAGGACGCATCCCTCCGAAACATCATTGGTGAATGCATTGTAGCTTTGAGAATGGAGCTTCGCATTACAAATCAAGCAAAATTTTTATTTGCTATTCTAAACTGTCTTTTATTTTCAAAAACGGTAGTAAAACTTTTTTCGTAAAAAAAGTACCGTAAACTTTTTACGGTACGAGCCTGAACATCAACAATTTGTAGTGTTGTAAGATTACTTTTTTAGCTTTAATAATTATCTTGACAACTAATTCAGATAATGAACTACTTTTTATTTATTTACATCTAAAACAAATTAGATTAATTCATAAATAATAAATAAAATACAGTTTTATCAAGAGGCAAATGTAATGTTGTAATGTAGAGCGGGGCTAGTTGAGTAATTTTTACTAAATCTAATAAATCTCATCGACGGCGCGTTGAATATACATATTTTTTGGTATATTTGAAAAATAATTTAACGTGCTAAAAATTTGCTAAAAAAAAAGTATAGTTTTTCATTTTTTTAAGAAAATATTGCCTAAAGTTTGCGGAGCTGACCTGACCCAGCGGGGTAAGTTTAGCAATAGTGTATGAAATGAAAAAAACAAATAGATATGGACTTGAAAAACAAATAGTGTATGAAATGAAAAAAACAAATAGATATGTATTAACAGTAACTTTATCAAAAAAAAAAAATATATATATATATATATATATATATATATATATATATATATATATATATATATATATATATATATATATATATGTATATATATATATATATATATATATATATATATATATATATATATATATATATATATATATATATATATATATATATATATATATATTTGGGATGGGAATATTTTTTTAAAATGATGGCCCTATGACTATTGGTGGAGCAATGCCCTATGGAGCAGCAGTGACCAAAAACTCACAAAAGCATAAGAATGAAATATTGAAAATGCAAAAAATCTTCTGTACAAATGCATTTTATAGTTTTGCCAAATGTTTGAAAATTTACTTAAAGATTAAAATTCATACTGTTTAACTTTTATATATTGTCTATATTTAAATTATATTTTAAATTTTTATAACAATTTAATTTGACGTTTTCTCAAATTTATTTTTGAAACCTTTTATTCTATTTCGCAGACCGTTTTTATTAAACAATATTGCTTTAAATACTATTAAAGATATTAAAAATCTTAGGAATCTTACATGTAGTTAAAAATTTTACATGTAGTTTTTGTTTCTCTAAAACATTGTGCCATTCCTTATATCCACGGTTAACAAAAGCTCCCAAAGATTTTTTTTATCAAGCTTTAGAAATAAAGTGCAATATATGCAGTAAACTGCGTCTTTACTGTTACTGTAGACAAATCCATTTTGTAAATATTCTTCTTTACAAGCACGTTTACAACCATGTTTTAATGTTTTGGGAAATTGAAAATGTATCTTCTGTTTTGAGTTATTCGTAAACAATTTGTATATTTCATGTGGTAATAATTCTTGATTTCCACGCAAGAGTTTGTCAATATCATATCGTTTTTCTTCTTCTTTAAAATCACATTCTTTTAAATTTGTTTGGTCTACTTCGCATGACAAGCTTTTGTTAACATTATTATCATCTTTAATGACTTCCTCTTTTTCTTCTAACTTGGTTAATGTTTTATCGGTTACATTTTGAAAATTTGTCGATAATAAAAAACGCTTGAAACGTAAGTAATTATTCATAAACTTTCAGATCTTAAACTATACCAAAATTAAAAAAACTCGCGTAAACATTACAATTAAAAACTAGTAATAACAAAAGTACTATCATAAAAAAATTTAACGTATAAATAATGTCTATATTTATATCTAGTTAATATCAAACTAATCTAACTAATTATTATAAAAAGAAGATCAAAATAACTTTTTACTTAAAATAACCAGCTAAAGATTTGCATTTCTTTGCAGCATTTTGAAGCTCTTTTCTATCAACTGCTCGTTTTCTTGTTTGTGATTTAGTATTAGTAGAGAATTGTAATTACAGTATAAACTCTTGAGAGACTATTTTTCCTTTTTTTGTTTACAAAAGATTTCACAATGCAATGACTTGTAATGACGCCTAACGCTTGTGAAACAATTAAGTAAAAATTGTTTTATGAGAATGATTCATAAAAATCAAATAATTATCATAAAAATTTCGATTAAATATTTTTACATCGAAAAGAGTCTAGAAATAATTTTTGGCATCAAATTAAAAAAGGCACTTTGCATAAAAGGGGGGTCGATCGCACCCAACAACCCCCTCCCCCCCCCCCCCATGGTACAGTTTTGCTAATGTACAAAAATGTTCTATGTTTGCTATGTTACTAATGTTCTAAAAGAACAGAGCAGTAATAAATGAATAAGTAAAAGAAACACCGAAGGTGAAACTGGCAGTTGAAGCTCAAATTGATTAATTGTTTTTTTTACTAACTTTTAACTGTAGTCAAGGTTTAAAACCTTGGTAAAATCAATGTTTTTTTAAATCTTGACTATACCAAAAACTAGATATACAGTATCAACTTTCTGTTATTAGCAGCAGTAGTCCACTCATTTAATGTTATCAACATCTATGCAGAGGTTAACCTACACTTTAAAAAGAGCCAAATTGATCAGCGGTTATAAGGTTAATGATTATTAAGTAATTTGTAATGCATTTTGCAGTGATTGACTCCATAACTTTATAAAACATCCACGTCATAAAAATAGATCTATAGTTTGTAGTTAAAACATGGTTTTTTCTCTTAAAGATAGAGCTTGCTACTGCGGTATTCCAAATTAAAGATTTTTTGACACTCACAATACAAACAATACGGAAAGAGGAATAGCAATAGCATTTGTGATTTTAAAAGTATTGCTGAGTATTCATCAGGTAAAATGGAGAAATTTAATGGAAAATTTTGTAAAAATGAAGCTACAGAGCTGTATGGAAACATTACATTATTTAACGAACTTGAGTGTGTTGGCAAATTTAAGACACGTGACACCATTATCTGTAGCAAAAACATTACTGAAAATATTTTTTTAAAGATGCGATTTTTTACAATCATCTATGCTAAGAGTGCCATCATGTAATCGTAATACTGGTGCAACAGAACTACAGCATTTGGTTTTCATCTTTACAAAAGAATAAAACTAGACAATATTAGCTTTATTGACTAAATCTTTTGAATTGAAATCTTATTGACTAAATCTTTTGAATTGAAAATCTTATTGACTAAATCTTTTGAATTGAAATCTTCTGAAAATAAAACATTTTTTTTTAATGGATGTATTACCAGTTCTTTTGTATTCTCTATAGAGAATGCGTTTTTTTATATTGCAATGTACTGGAACATTTACGGAAATAGATAAGTTTAAATATTTACAAATAATCTAGATTTCTCCAAATTACAATTGAAAACGATCAGTGAAAACATATAATGGCATTTGCCGAACACGTTTTTACAAATAGGTTATGCGACGAGTCTCTAAAACTAATTGGGATTGACCAGTTTATGAGTGGTAGGTTAAAGTCACCTGCTATGATACATGTAGAATTACATGTGTAATTCTACATGTATCATAGCAATGTAGTAATTTTATAAATTAACTTGCACAAAGCTTTGAGTTTTAAAATACTGTTGCATCACATTATGGCCGGAGACAACTTTTTTCATGCGGGGAAATGAAGTGAGTGCTATGAAGAGGCAATATGTCTCTTAACAATAAACCTTTTTAATTTTCTGTTGTAATATCTACATCTTATGCATAGAGCGATATAGAATATAAATTAAATTTAAAGTTAAATCATAAATTTAACTTTAAGTGTCGAATATCCTGTATTTGTAGTATTGCTCAAGTTATAACTTATTTTTCTATAGTTTGCTTCCAAAACCTCAATTTCAAAAACCAAATTTGCTTCCAAAACCTCAATTTCAAAAACCAAATTTGCTTCCAAAACCTCAATTTCAAAAACCAAATTTGCTTCCAAAACCTCAATTTCAAAAACCAAATTTGCTTCCAAAACCTCAATTTCAAAAACCAAATTTGCTTCCAAAACCTCAATTTCAAAAACCAAATTTGCTTCCAAAACCTCAATTTCAAAAACCAAATTTGCTTCCAAAACCTCAATTTCAAAAACCAAATTTGCTTCCAAAACCTCAATTTCAAAAACCAAATTTGCTTCCAAAACCTCAATTTCAAAAACCAAATTTGCTTCCAAAACCTCAATTTCAAAAACCAAATTTGCTTCCAAAACCTCAATTTCAAAAACCAAATTTGCTTCCAAAACCTCAGCAAATTATAGAAAAATGAGTTATAACTTGAGCAATTCCAAATCAGAAAAAACAGAATCACACTAAGGATTCATCCTAGGATTTTACTCCAGGTGGGGGCCCCTGGAGGGTCTTGGACAGTTTGCTTGCTTGACTCACCCTCTGCACGGCCCTGTATATATATATATATATATATATATATATATATATATATATATATATATATATATATATATATATATATATATATATATATATATATATATATATATATATATATATATATATATATATATATATATATATATATATATATATATATATATAACGTTAACATTAATGCTAAAATATAAGTCATTTATGTTAAGCATAAATATTACAGAAAAAGACCGACTATTTAGTTTTTATGTAAACTTTTGATTTGATTGACATCATGTATGTATTGTTTTCTGTTAGTCGGATATCTTTCATAGTTTTTTTTTTATATTTCATGAGTTATAATGTCTTTGGATAAGAAATAATTTTTTTTTTTTGTATAACAACTCCTTTATATGCATTTGATCATGGAATATTATTAAAGTAATTTCTTGGTTGACTTTTGTCCACAAATGTATCATTTGTTTTAAGATGTGATTCAAACTTTTTTCGAACAAACCTTTTTTGCAGCTAGATTTGAGGGAAAAAAAATCTTTTGAGTTTTTCAGCTCTAACTATTTTATAATTACTGATTTTTTTTTTTTTATGAAATGATTTTACATTTTTTTTCCTTTCACTTATAATTTTAGCTAATTCTATTCTCTTTCTTGTTTTATTATCAATGAGTCTGATAGTCATTAATTTTTAACGAGTCCGAACATGTTTCTAAACATGTTTTTCTTTGTTTGTTTTTATGTATAAAACGTAAATTTTGATTTATGTTTTATACATAATTTTTCTCTTAATAAAATCGCATCGAGAAAACTGTATTGTAAAATGAATTTAGCAATTTTCCTCTAAAAGTTAAGTAACATCAATTTTCAGGAGATGTAGTATTAATGGCAGAAAAAAAAAAAAAAAAAAAAAAAAAAAAATATATATATATATATATATATACACACATATATACACACAGTATGCATAAATACATATATACACATACATACCGGAACCATATTGCAAGAATAAAATTTGTTTTATCTTTTCCTTTTATGAGTTTTGAGATTTTGAGAAACGATTTCAAAAATAAAAATTTTAGGAGACGGTAGTTAAAAAGTTTTTTATTGCTTATTTTTAATTTGTTTTAATTAAAAAAAAAAATTGGTAACAACACATTTCTGTGGTAACAACACAACTCATTTTGTAGACAGTAGTAAAGAAAATAAAAAATTTGTCAAAAAAAACGCAGTTTTGTTAATGTGATTTTAAATAGACTACTCATCAAGTTAATATGATAATTATTGTTATCTTAATTTGATGATCCCATTTAAAAATAACCCAAATCACATATCTTTTCTCGTATTTGCTAAAATTGTGCAAACATCAAAATCCTAGACATCTTGCACATGTCTAGGATTTTCTTTTTATCATGCGTAGTTTTACATTTTTTTAAGATTTAAGTTTAAAAACGTTAATTTTGTTTTAAATGCTGTTTTTTTAATTGAAAATCATGTTTCAGACTAAAAACTTGTAAATTTTTTTTTTTAGGTGCTCCTAGAAGTCCTTACGGTCTTATCACGGAGCACCGCGGGAGAGCAATTAATTAAAAATTCTCGCCTCTTTCCTTACCAATGTCGCTTATTAAGCTAGAGCCGGCGTCGAACCTCGGCGTCGGACCTCTGGGTTCTGAGCCAGAACTCTAAACACTGCGCCACTGCTGCTTTTTTTTTGATTTGAAATTGGTTGATGGCATGGTTCAGAATAAAACTTAGAAATTAAACCACTTTTGAAAAATTTTGAAATAATTTTTTATAACGAGTTCAAAAGGGTTTTAACACCCATTATAAGAAATCTATTTTTATTTTTGAGGAAATGACTTCTACAGTTTAATCTTAAAAAAGACAAATTCAAATATAAGTAAAAACGGAAGAAGCTTCCCACTTAGTGTAAAAAAGTTTATAAGCTACGAGAAAAACATATTTTTAAATCTGGGGTCATGTTGAAATGACTCAAATATTCAAACAACTCTAGCTTCCTTTTAAAGTGCAAAACAAAAAGAAAATAAAAATAAAATTAAAATAAGATTAAAACAAAAAGAAAATAAAAAAAAACATTAAGAAAACATTAAGTCTACCCTTATGTTTCATTCAATGATAGAACAACAACTTTTACTTCCTTCCAAACTACTTAAAAATAAGAAATAATTTAAAAATGAAAAAGAGTTAACGCCTTTTTGCATAACCCTACTCGTATTTTTCATTGAGCACTTGAATTCCGTCTCTAGTTAAATAAAACAATTTTTTGAAGAAATATCAAATTTAATTTCATTTCAACGATTAAAAGTTATAAATAAAACAATATTCAATATTTAAACATTTTCTAATAATTTTTCAATTTTTTCAATCGTATTCGCTTTTTAATATGATTTTGTTTATCTAAGTTCCTAGTTACAAACACTACCCTAGTTACAAACATTTAAAATGAAATCTAAAGTATAATACGTTTTTCAAAATATTTCTATAAATGAAATAGCAAATAAAAAACGCTTTAAAAACTGTATAATTTATTTAACATAAAGTGTTTTTCTTTATTTCTTCAAGGACAATGAAATCAAGATGACATCACTTATGTTGCAAAAAATGTTAGTAAATATTTATCGAAATTTAAAAAAATAACATAAGTGAAATGAAAAGATGCAAATAAATTTCATGGTAGAATGAACGTAATTTGTTCACACACAAAGCCATTGGATTTGGAAAATGGCATTATCTTTGGAATTCTGCTTTGTATAGCTACATGTGCAGCTACGTTTTGCAACATTCTGGTTTTAACAATTTTTATAAAAATGTGGAAAAAATCGGCGTCAAACCATATTTTACTGTCACTTGCCATTGCTGACGTTCTTGTTAGCGTCATACTTGGTCCGATCACAGTTTTGCAGCTTTTCGATGTTGAAATATCGAAAGAGTGTACAGCAAATTTTATTCGCGGTTATTTTTTAATTTTTCTTGTCGGATCATCTCTGCTCACATTAGCTTTGGTATCATATGATCGATATTTGTTGCTGACAAAACTTTCAAATTATAACAAGTATATGACAATTAATAAGGCTATTTTTTTAATAGTATTTTCGTGGGTTTTTCCAGGTTTAATTCCGATTACAAAGAGAATATATGTGTTCTACTCTATCTTATGTATAATTATGTACACTTTTCCTTTGATTGCCTTGGTGACTTTTTATTTACTAATTACAAGAGAAGTACGCAAACGAGAAAAAGATCTATTTTTCAAAAAGTATAACAGTTCTAAAAAATATTGTCCTGCAGAGCTCAATATACACTCCGATGCTGAAGGTGTTCGACATCCTAATGCCGAGAGTTTTAGAAAACATTTCACACATTTAAAGTTAGCTAAGTCCATTACAGTCTTAATTGCATGTTATTTTGCTTGTATATTTCCACTAAACATTTGGATGTTCTTGGAATTAGTCAAAGTCGAATATAGCAAATATTCCAGCAATATTTTTTATTTATGCTCTCTGTTACTAATGCAAGTTAACTCCTGTATAAATCCTGTCATATACTTTTCGAAACAAAAGGAGTTTAAAAAAAAGTTTAAAAATATATTTAAGCGTAGAACATCAGCAACGCCTCCTTTGGACTAAACAAAAATTGTTGAAGTCTTTTTATATAAAGTGAAATTGATGCAGAAACTTAGGGTTGCCTATATGTATCATTGCAACTAAAGACAGTGTAATATAAAAATGGGTGTACATATAATAAATGACAATGAATTTTAAATAAGCCTAAAGAATGATTTTGAGCAATGGTTGCATATGTATATATATATAACCTTTTTTTTATTATCTTTCAATTTAAATATTTTTTTAAATTATATATTATGATAAAAGTTTCAATTTTTCTTTAAATAATATGGCGTAAAATTCTCTGAAAATTTATTTTATTTATTCTGAATTTTAATCCATTTTAGTTTTTATTTACTTCTTAACTTAATAAAATCAGTTTTTTAAAATAAAATTATATATTTATATATATATATATATATATATATATATATATATATATATATATATATATATATATATATATATATATATATATATATATATATATATATATATATATATATATATATATTTTTTTTTTTTTTTTCATATATCCTTCGTGAAAAAGAAAGCGTATTCAAAATATAAAAATAATTAGTTTCTGATACACAGCAAAATCCAAGATTCTAGGTTAAGAACTTTTGTTCTTATTTTAAAAAATTGATTCTTATTTTAAGAACCTGATTCTTATTTTAGATTTCCATTCTTATTTAAAGATACTTCAAGAAAAATTGTTCTTAATTTTATATAATATATATATATATATATATATATATATATATATATATATATATATATATATATATATATATATATATATATATATATATATATATATATATATATATATATATATATATATATATATACATATATATATGTATATATATATATTTATATATATATATATATATATATATATATATATATATATCAATAGATACTTGCAGGTATACCTAAAAAAAAAAATTTAAAAGTTCAGAAAAATTAAAGCTACTGAATTTTCCCTTATGAAAATCCTCCCCATCCTCTGATAGACCTTGTGTTGATGATTTTATGTAATTAAATAGTCTAATCCATTTAATCGCCATTAAGACTAAAATACAAACCAGAAAGAGTCGTATACTACAAGAATTTTATAGAATTCGTCTTTAATAAATGCAATATTCATATTGCATTTATTAAAAGATTTAATAAATGCAATATGAATATTGCATTTTTCGCGATTTGGTTTGAAGTGCTCCAAAGTTGTGCACTTCTTTATAATAAATGAATTTAGCAAAAATGAATAAACTGCCGAGCGACGGATCAAGAAGATTTTGTGTGGCTAAAGACTCTGTCCCTTCTGCCTACCCCTTCCCCCCTCCCTTATGTTTATGAGCGCATGTTCAAAATATTTATAAGAAATTTTAGAGATGGCTGCGGATCTTGGTTACATAATCTTTTTTATATAGCAACCTTTTTTTAATTTTGGTTTTGTAAAAATTAATGCTGCAACTTGTTTATTAAATTCGTAATGAATGGCGTATTTGGACCAAAAGTTGTTTGTAGTATTCAAACCTAGCACCCAATTATTTCATAAATGGAATAACATCAATAAAACTGTATTAAACCAGCAATAAATTTTTCTAAAGTCAAATAGATTGTTATAGTAAAAAGCAAATCTCTTTTAATATAAATTTTATGTCTCAAACATACTACAAACAAACTAATATGATATATTATATATACTTATAATTTATGAATTAATAATTTTTTATGAATATCTAATCTAAAAACAAGATATTTAAAATAATTTGCTTTCAAGAATGTCACTCTATTTCTAATATTCTTTTCTTTCTATCCAAACTTATTAAATTGTGTGCTCTTGTTTATCTATTAAATTGTCTATTTGTCTGAAACCACACACAAGTTACTCTACCTCTTTCAATCTGTAATTTCTTTACTTCTATAAAAAATTCTCAATATTATCTTCCATCATTTAGCAACCTTAAATTATATATTCTAAATCATTGTTCAGTTAAGTACAGCATAACAAATCACATCACAAACCAATGCATAAAATCATGAAATAATTTATCATTTTTTATTCATAGAATAATTTATTTTTTATATTCACTTTATATCACTAAACTTTATTACTAAAACTCATCTTTATATCTTTTTATTTTGGAGAAATGTAATTACTGTTCGTAAAATGTTGGGCTCATTGTGGGTTATTATTATTGCTTTTGGTATGACTATATGTAATATAAATATCAACATTATTTTACTTCTATTCATATCACTATTACCTAATGTTATTGTTTAATATAAAATTTAATATTTATCAATATTATTATTACTATTATTATTGTCATTATTATATTAATATAAATATAATTGTTAACATTGCTTACCTCGTTATAATTGTTTTAATATTGTTATTGCTATTATTATATAATTGGTTTTTACTTAAAATTAGAACTATTATTAAGATTAGTAAAAAGATTAAAAGATTTTATCAAGATTAGTACTATTTCTAAATATCCATGTGTATGTTGCATGTGTATGTTGCATGTGTATGTTGCATGTGTATGTTGCATGTGTATGTTGCATGTGTATGTTGCATGCATAAAATCCATATCTGTACGTAACAGACAATGGAGACGAAGTGATTATTATGTGTGGCAAAGGATTATTTTATAAAGTTTTTCATTTTCTGACTTCGTGATGGAACTTATTGGAATACACTTGTCATGGGTGGAGTTTTGCCGCTACAAGCATGAACAATAATAAAACATTCCAAATAACAATTTGTTATTTCAACGATTAGATTTGTTGTTTAAATGTATAAATGCTTTTTGAATATTCTTATTATATATCATCCTAATTTCAAAATAATGTTTCATTTTTTCCATAGAAAAAGTACTTTTGTAATAGTGTTTTATAGTTCAGGAGAAATATTATTGAAACAAAAAGTTTATTGAAAAATATTATTGAAACAAAAAAAGTTCAGGGGAAATATTATTAAAACAAAAAAATAAAATCTTATTTTAAATAAAAATAACATTGAAACAAGTAAAAAATGATTTTTTTAAGGAATATAAATTCTTGAAACAAGAAAAAAATACATAATTTTAAGAATATAAGTTCTTTAAATAAGAAGAAAATAATCTTATTTTAAGAATATAAATTCTTGAAACAAGAAAAAAAGTTCTTGTTTTAAGAATAAAAATTCTTAAAACAAGAAACTAAACTATAACTATATCTTATGGACTATAACTAAACTAAACCATTTCTTAACACCTCTTCTCTAAAAAAAATATACTTTTCATTTATTCATAGTTTTATCTCTTACTGCAATATTGTATGGGGTAGTACTAACTATGGTAAGTTGAAAAAACTTCATAGTAAGCAAAAGCATGCATGCAGGATTATATTTGGCGCCCACAGAACTTTTCAATGTGAACCTCTTTTAAGGAAGCTCGGTGCCCTAATTGTCTATAAACTTAATATACACCAAGTTCTACAATTCATGTTTAAAACTAAACATGAACTCTCTCCTATTGTATTTAAGTCTTACTTTAGTGAAATCTCGCACAAGTATCCTACTAAATTTTCAATTAATAACTTTATTGTTCCAAAAACTAATTCAAAACTAAATTCTTACAAAATCCAATACCGTAGACCGTTTCTATGAAAACATTTTTCAAAATTTATCACAAAAAATAAAAATGTTCAACACATCTCTTTGGAAAAATTCAGAAAAGAATCTAAGAATCTCTTATTACAAAAAGAATTTGATTTAAAATATCTCTTTTAAAGATAATACTCAAATAATATAAATTATCTAAAAAAATAGTTAATGACACTACTTCTCTTTTGTTGCAATTTTAATCTAATTTAATTTTTTGTTGAACAACTTTAATACTTTTAAATTATTGTTAATCTTTGATATAATGCGTTATATTTCAACACTAATATTTACATTATGTTATTAGTTATATTACTAACGTATTTAAAATTCTTGTTATGTACTTAGCTACTCTTCATTTTTTATATTAACTGACGATTTTTTAGTAAATTTTATGATGGGGCTTGATGATAAGACAATTTATGTCTTTTGCTTGCTCCAGTTCTCTTATTTATTAACACAATTTATTTCATTGTAAATTTTAATATATGACAAACTCTTTTGCTTAAAAAAAAAAATTTTATATAAGGAATAAAAATTCTTGAAACAAGAAAAAAATTATTGATTTAAGTATAAAAATTCTTGAAACAAGAAAAAAAAAATTGTTTTAAGAATAGAAATTCTTGAAACAAGAAAAAAGACTTTTTTTGCTTAAAACTTTTTTAATAGTTTTTTTACTTAAAACAAGAACCTTGGATTTTGCTCTGTAAATATTAAATGTTATAAAAATATCAATTAAATGACACCTTTCTTTAAGTTATGTTTTTTACTTATTTTGAATAAATTAATGTATAAATGTAAATAGGTTTAAGATTAAGTTATTCTATTGGTTTAATATTAAATTAAGTTTAAGGTTAATCCACAACATATTTAAAGCTAGGCTGTTCAACAAGCTATGTAAATTACAGATTGCATAATAGTGTGTAGATTTATGAAAAAGAATTTATGAAATTGAATGAAAATAGAACATGTATGATTGATAGGAATAATTTTTTATTTCTAGGTATTGGCAGGCTCTACTGACGACTTACCTTCCTGCAACGAGGTTAAAAGAACCTCCAACTATAGTTAGAGCTTGCATACAAGCTAATTTAGCTTGTATACAATATACTTGTATACTAAATAGCTTGTATATAAGCTAATTTAAAATATTTTTCATAGCAGTATGTTCTAAGAAGAATTTGCCATTTATTTTACTTTTTAGTAAGTTTGAAAACATGCGCAAGCTGGCAATCGGGAGATTTTTGAACAAAAATTAACGCCGTGTTGTCCACTTTATCTTTGTTCAAGTCAAATTTAAAAAAGGCACAATGTTCATCACCATTGCATACTATTTTAACTAGATGTTTCTATTTTACCTCTATCACCTTTTTGTATATCTTATTTTTAAATGCAAATAAATTAGAAACCATATCGCCAACTCCATGTTTATATGTATAAAAGGCATTAACCTTTAAAAAACCAGAGTGTTGAACAAGTTAGTTAAAGTGGAGAGGAGTTTAAGATTTTTTTTGATTTAATTATTATTAAAGTGCCAATTGAAATAAAAAAACGAATCTTTATTTTCGATAAATACATTTTATTTTATCGATTGATATTATTTCGATTATTTATTAATTTATCAAATATAGATTGAAATATTAGATGAACTGTCACAACGTTTTTTATTTTATATATATATTTTTTTGGTTTTAAAGGTTTTAAATAACCAAAGTAGTGTAAAAATAACCGAAATAGTGTAAAAAAAAAACAAAAACAAAAAAACTTTTTTCCATATATACACTTTATTTAGTCAATCAAAAGTTATTTTACAATGCCGTCAAATGACTTTACATCATTGTTCAAATAGTAAAAATAAATTATCTTCTTGAGCGTGTCGTTTGAAATAAAAGCAAGTCTTCTCAAGTTATCTTGACATCCACTTTTTGAAATCCACAAAAACTACTGTCTCCACTGCCCAATTTGAGTAATTAGAAATTAGAGCCAAAATTCCAATTAGCTCTCAAAGCAATCAAATCAACCGTATAGTTTTTCGATCATCAGGCATAAGAATCAGATCGTCGTCTTTTAGTATTCTTAACGCATCATCAAATAACGAACGACTTATTTTCTAAACATACAAGAGTTTAAGCAATAATCGAAATAAAAATGCAAATATAAGCAATAAACTAAACAAGATAAACCATTAAACTGGTTGCTTATTACACCAGAAAAGTTTATCATTTTTATAACACGATGTATTGCATCCAAAATTTTTATAGAAAATAATGAGTATAATTTAAAATTTTAAATAAACATTTTCAAAAATTTCAATGGTAAAATTAAAAGTAAATGAAGAGCTTTAAAATCAAAATAGTTCATTAAATATAAATAACGTGGTGAAATATTAAAAAATAAAAAATTTATAATTGAAAATTTAAAAAAAACATACATTAGTTCATTAATGTTTTTGTATAAAAAAAAAAAAAAAAACAGAAATGATTGGAGCAGAACGTAACTACATGACTTAAGATTTTTAAAGAAAAAAAAAAACTTTTCAAAATAAATATGGTTTTTTGAATCAGAGCATGAAACCAAAAATGTTATACTTGACATTAACATTTTTTTATAATATAGGAATAAAAAAAAAAAAAAAAAAAAAAAAAAGATTCCGGTGTATTTCTGTATGGGGAATTAAAATGATAAATAAAATTATAATAAATAAAATTATGATTGACGCTTGAGGTCAAAGATATTTTTATCAAATTAATTGAGAGGAAGCTTCAAGGGAATAATGAATACAGAGGAAGATTTAAGGGAAAAAGATTCAATGTATTGAGTAGGACAAACAGAAACTTGCAGTGAAAACTGACCTCTTTTTTCTAAACAATAAGTTTTTTGAGGTTGAAAGCATCAAGGCCTATTGTCTGTGAAACTTCACCACATCAGTAGTTCCTGAGTGCCAATATTATGCAGACGGCGAACGATCTCTGTTTTGAGTTATTAGAACAGAAGTGAGACAAGTCTACTCTTAGAATGAGTCCATCAAGATTTTAGAAAAGATTAAGAGACTACTTTGATACCATCAGCTTGCTTCTTTAAAGTTGAAATAATTTTAAATGTCATGCTTAACTTTTAACTCAAGAGATAAACCCAGGGTGGCCAGCCAAAAGCTAATGTAAAATTCCGGGACATTTCCAGGACTTTTAAATGATAATTTGGTGTTTTTTAAGGATATTTTGATCTTTTCTCGAAAAAAACAAAATATGTTGTCTTTAAAATATGTTTTATATATAAATATATCTTATGCTTAATTTCTTTCAACACTGAATTGTATCTATAGTATGCTAACCTACAGCTTTATAAACTATCACTGGAAAGCTCATACTGATGAATAACAATGTCTTGGGAATTGATGTGGTTATAAACTATTTTTTGGGAAACAAGAGACCTCTCTTGTAGATTTTCAAATAACTGTTTGTAAACACTGAATCTTCGTTTTATTGCACATTGGCTATGAGAAAAAAATAAAATGATAGCACTTTTCACAATGCTAAATACTTTTAAATTTATCAAGCTAAATACCAAGAAATTTATCAACATAATCAGTTAATTCAATAAAGGACTTAAATTTCTCTAAAACAAACACATTCTGCACCAACAAATTCATCATATTATTGTTTTGCATCATCTGCATTGTCAGTTGAAAGCCATTTTAATGCACTTAATCTCTCAGCAAGACCATTGAACTTCAGAGTGGATACTTCCTTGTTTTGAACCATTTCATTCAGAGACAAAGATGAAGCATTTCTCACTAAAGAATACTTCAATGGGCATCTTTCTTAAAATTTTTTCAATAACATTAATAATCTGCCTACATTCTTTCAATTTCTAATTTCTCTTTTGGTTTACAATGAATTTTACTTTTAAAATATTTAGTTTGAGAATCATTTTCATCAAATTTTGCAACACATTTTTTAAACTGTTTAAATAAAAATACCACTATAGGTCTGTTTGAAATAGAACAAGGAATCCTTTCAATTTTTCAGCAAGATCTTTAAAAAACTGCATTTGCAAAGGTAAAAACTTGTCAAGATAATGATCTAAAAGAGCTTTATAGCTCCTCTTTTTGAAACGCCTGCTTTTGAACAATGTTTCCCAATATTTTATCATTTTAACCATGTTTGGTCATACAACAATTGTTCTGGAAGCCACAGATTCATCTTCTACCCAGCAAGTTGCACAGAAACTATAATATTAAATATATATATATACATTTTTTTTCCAAATTTTTTCTGAATACAATGCATACTTATGTTAAAGCAAACAGATCAGATTTGCAAACTCTAACGTACTAATCCTTATAGCAGGTCAATCTTTGAAGAGATTATAAATTGCACGAAATACAAATCTATGGAATATTAATGATATATTTGTAAAAGATAAAAACATGATAACGAAATATCAAACTATTTCAGAAAAAAGTTCCAGGATTTATTGCTACAAGGGGTGGTTTTCCAGGACATTTTAAGCTAGCAAAAGATTTTAAAATTAAGAAATTCTTTAACAAAATAAAAGATTTATTCTATGCACCCAGAAATTTCATTCGAAGAATCACTACCAATTAGTTTGAGATTCAGATCTTTAGCTCTTTTGATTAATCACTTAAATAACCACACAGCAAATTGCTTGGCTGGTTTAGACATTTTGATTTAGGCTTTGGTGTATAACGAATATAAGGTAGCAACCTCTAGACTGTCACAGTGATACAGTTCTCTTTGATAACTTTTTTTCTTAAAATGCCTGTTATAAAAATAAAACTTAAATTCTTATCGAAGACAAGAATTAAAGTTTTATCGTTTATATTACCAACAAAAATTCTTCTATTATAGAATACTTCAAAGTATGCTTTTTGACACAAAAAATATTTATGATATCTTATATAATGTTGTTTTTATCTTTAACAAGTTTTTCTGCCTTAATTATAATTTTCAGTAGACCATTAATGATAGCAGCATTAGTGGTTGATGACACACCGAATCTGGCAACAGCACCATTACTTATATATAAGTTCTGTTATTTCTTTTGTTTTTTTAATCCCGAGTTCTTTTTATTATCCCTGACTTTACCAATAGCACTGATGATACCAACATTTAAATTATTATTAATTTCGATTGCAAAAAGTTTATTAAGTTTAGATTATTAGTGTCTTTTGGGTTGAGCTATCCTTAGCATAGATGAGTATTTGACTTTTTGAAAATCCCGGAAACTTTTTTCAATGAAAATCCCAGAAAATTATTTTATTAAAAATTGATTGTTTTAACTGACAACAAATACTTTTGTAAACTTTTATAATGGAATTTAGATTATTTTATTTTTTACAAAAAGGAATTTCTAATATTCGAAAAAATTAATTTGAATGAATTAAAAAGCAAAAAAAAAAAAAAAAGAAAAAAATTGTTATGAAAATTGATCTTGTGAAAATTTTATTTATAGAAAACATATTTGTTTAAATGCAAAAGTTGTCATACTTAAAATTTTATGTAAAAATATAATATATTTTTACACAATAATTTGAAAAAAAAAATTTATATTATAATTTTTTTATTAAAGTTTTAAGTGAATTTCTGGAATTCCGGGAATTCTCTGAAAAAAATCATTTATGCCTAAGAGAATTGCAGACCTCTACTGAGTTTTAGTTCTTTGGCTTTAGCTTTATATTGGAAGTCCTAGAAAGTTCCTCAGCTTGGAGGAACTTTCTAGGACTTTCAATATACTCACTCAGCTTAGAATTCACTTATCTTATATTTTCTGGTTTTCTTAATAATGCCATTATTTCCTTTTAAACATATTATGAACCTAAAAGTGCTGGAATATAAGAATTAATAAATAAATCTATAACAGTTATAATCATACTTATAAGGTATATTAGAATGTCAACAAATATTTTAATACAAAACAATAAACTGCAACATTATTTCTTCACAAACTCTATAGTTAAAAAGTGGAATCATTTGGACAGTGAAGTTGTTAATGCCATTTCAGTGATTAATTTAAATAAAAAATTAAAAAATTTAGAGAAAAATAGCTTTTAAATCTAACATCTACAGTTGTTAGATTTTTTCTTGAGAATTTCAAGAAAAGATCTAGCAACAATAAATATTAGATTTTTTTTGAGCAGCTTGTTGTTTTTTCACGGATATGTCCAATCAAATTTTCAAAATATAATTTTTACGGTTTTAGGGAACTGAGTTATGCAATAACTTGGTATATATATTTAACAAATAACAGTAAATATAATAATAGTTTTATATAAATATAAAACATAAATAAATTTAAAATTAGTCAAGCAATTCTTTTTTTTTTCGTAATCTACAACTTTGCTATTTTTACAAGAATTTTTTTTCTTTGCAACTTAATTGCCTAATTTAGTATATTTGCACAAACCCAAACGCCCATACACAAGTTTTTATGTGTGTTTGAGAGATTTCTTTTTGATTGGAAAAAATAATTTATGAATATTTTGAAAAACTTTTTATGCATTAGTGCTACTTTAAATGGATATCTTATGGTATTTTTATATGGATATCATATGGTATTTTTAGCAGTTGTGCGCTACTTTATATAGATATCTTAGGGTATTTAAAATTAAGATTCTTACTGCTTCAGATTGTTCTCTAAACTCCTCAAAAAGCTTGTAATAATTTATTGTTGGAACTCGACCTTTAGCTTTTAACAATTCTAATAATGCTTTAGATGCATCAATTCTTCTCTTTCGATCTGTAATGCTTAGTCCTGTGGTGAGAATATTGATATCAATCATACCAGTCTTTGGATCCATTGCAGATTGTTTTAATGCTTCGCGATGTAATCTAAGTAAAACATAAATATAAATATGGATTTTTGTGCATAGCAATGATTATAATTTTGTTCAATTAAGTAGAAAGTAAAAAGATATTTAAGTCATTAAGCCTATAGCTTAAGTGAAACTACAAGCTTAAACTATAGCTTAAGTAAAGAGTAGTTTCCATGATTCCTTGTTAATATTAATTTAATTTATAAATAGAAAATTTACAAAAAGTTCCACAGAAAAATTTTTAAAACTAAGGTCAAAAAATAATTAATAATAAAATGATTAATATAAAATTTTTTGCTGAGGCGTAACAGGTTCTAAAAATAAAACCAATTATATTATTTTTTGTTGAAGTTAAAAAAGCATAAGTTTCAATTGTTAATTACCAAGCACTTATCTGTATAAATGGAAAAATAAAATAAATGCATTTTACTTTTACATAGAGCTTTATGCAATCTCTGTCCCACATCATACCCATAAAATTTTTTTATCCCAACTTTGCCATTATCAATTTTATCCTCAACCCCATCAATTTTGTTCTCATCCCCATCCAATCCCTGTTTAGATTGTCTCTACCCCCATCAATAAAGTGAACTTAACAAACCAGTAAACCACATTAAAATAATAACTCATATAAGCAAACCTTGTATTTTAACCATTTTTTGTTAATTCATAAATTAAAACTGTCTGTGCTTTAATTGAATTGTTACACATACCTATAATTTGTTATAATTGTTAACCATACAGAAATAACATAATATTTCAAGCCATGCAATAATAAATATATGTTGATTATATTTTGTGCTTCTTAACTATTACAATTAATACTTATTACGGCTAGAATGCCACAAAAAGAATACACATACAACTTTTCAGTAAAAACAAAAAACATAAAATATAAATATCAATGCAAAGAAAAACAAATACAGAGCTATAAACAGAGTTTAGAGATAATTTAAGTAACATATACATAAAAATCAAAAAATATAACAACCTTTTTGCTTCCTCAACGTCTACTATTTGGACAAATTTTGAGAATCTATAAAAAAAAAAAAAAATTATTTTAAACCTTCTAAAATTACAATACCTATTAGCAGATCATTATTAAATTATTTGCATAGTGAAAAAATATTTGTAGTAGCATTTTTGTGCATAGACCCTAAAAAACCTTAGAATTAAATATAAAGATGTGCAGACAACAGATGACATTAAACATAAAAATGTGTATTTCTCAGCATAGATGTCTCTGGAAGTACTACACCTAACTTATTTCTTTATAAGAATTATGTTTCATAGTTTAGAGCTAAGTGAGTAGCAAAAAACAAATAAAATAAAAAAAACCACCTTGATTGAAGTGACTATGTAGCCTTGGGGAGGAGAGTTATATATATATATATATATATATATATATATATATATATATATATATATATATATATATATATATATATATATATATATATATATATATATATATATATATAAAGCTTTTAAGATATTCCTGCATGCTGGTCTTCTTCATAAGCTCTCTTTATATGACTTAAAACTAAAAAAGTTTTTAAATCTATTACACCCATTCCTTTCTATGTAGATGAGTTTTTGACTTAATGAAAATCCCACAAAATTTTTAAAATAATTCTTTTTCCTTATATTTAACTAAAGATTGGTGTTTAGGTAAAAAAAAAAATTTTGTGAACCAAAAGCTTGTTTTTCTTTTGTGAACCAAGAGTTTTTACAGAACATTTTGTAAACTTTAAAAATAGAATTAACATAAATTAACTTTTTAAATAAATTCTAAATACTCTAAATAATTTGAACGAATTAAAAGTCCATAACCACATTTTTTCTTTTAAAAAAATTAACAACTTATTACAAATAAAAAACTATTTTATGAAAATTTTAGTAATAGAAAATATATTTCCTAAGATATATTGCTATTTTTAAAATTTTATGTATTTTTGTCACAAATTATTTGAAAAAAAAAAAAGACAGAAATTTTCAGGAACTCAAAGCGAACTTCTAGAGTTCCAGAAGTCCTGCAAGAAAATTTTAAATCAAGCTGTCTTTAAATCTCTGCTATAAAAAAAAATGTAAACCTCATTTTTGCATGTGCTTCAGCCATCCGGATCAAAGCTTCTAACTGACGAGGATATGCAGATACTGCCCCTCGACTTCCCCCTGCTTTTCGCATATCTTTTTAAAAATAAAAAAGCTTGGTTAAAACTTAAACATAAATTCATTTAAAAAAAAATTAATTTTTGAAATTAAAAATTATTTTAATAACAATAATAACTAACACAAATTAAAACTTACCGACATAAGAACTTATCAAAAGTTGTCCAGCTTCTTCACTAAGTTTTGGTACTATATTATTTTTGGCATATGATATATAGTCCTTTAGTGTACTCATGTCCTATTTAAAATTGCAAATACAAATTTGTAAAAATAATACTTATCTATAAAGCAAACTTGATATATATATATATATATATATATATATATATATATATATATATATATATATATATATACATATATATATATATATATATATATATATATATATATATATATATATATATATATATATATATATATATATATATATATATATATATATATATATATACATACATATACATACATACATACATACATAAATACATACATATATATATATAAACTTAGCACTAGTCAGTCTAATATTCATGATATCATTAAAACTTAATTACTAAAAGCTACACAAGTAACATTTTTCAACACCACATTATAACCAATATATATTGTTACTATATAAGTAACATTTTACCACCGATTCGGCATCTGCTTCTACATCGGACATATGATAAAGTGAAACTAAATGCGATGCTAATCTTCTATCAAAATGCTCATCTTGAGGATCCAACATTAAAAATATCAAGTCAAATCTAAATGAAAAAAATAACAAGCTAAAAATAAATTTGAATTTAATAATCACTAATGTAAAAATTGGATTATCAAAATGTGCAACATTTTGAATTAAGATGTAACTAGTAAGATGGAGTTACAAAGCTCTTTGATTTTGAGCATTTTTTATTGAATTCAAACCTTATATTATATTTAATCAAATTGTAACTAAATTTAAACCTATTAGTTTTGATCAAATTCAAACCACCTTAAAAATCTAACCATAAAAAAAAAAAATTATGAGTTGAATTGTATATACAAAAAAGTAGACTAACAGCAAAGCCACAGCACTATAAAGAATGAGACAAATATTTTTAGATATTTTTTAAATTATAAAAGTTATTATAAAAGTTTGCCACAAAAGTTTGAAAACGGTATATGCATAACAGTGTATAGGTATTATGCATAAGAATGTATTGATGTGTTGGATAGGGGTTAAAAGATCATCAAATGATCTAAAATTTGGTACATTCATACTTTAGCATATTGAACAAAATATGAGAGGTGCATCATCATGGTAGCCACTAAATTTTTAAAGTTAAATTCCATGACGTTTCTAGGACATTCCAGGACTTTTTGTTGCATTTTCTAGGACATTTTGCATCCTATTAAATATTATTATCTTGTCATTATATTTTTTTCATATTGATTGAATAATAGAATATTATGTTAATATTAGAGTTTGAAATAATTACCATATATATATATATATATATATATATATATATATATATATATATATATATATATATATATATATATATATATATATATATATATATATATAGTAATTAAATTTTTATTCAGACCATTTTATTAATGTATTAGTTGATTTAGTTGACAGTCAAATTATTTAAAACTCTAATATTCACACACACAAATATATACATACACTATCTGACTGTAGGAGCAAAAGGAGCAAAATTTTGAGCCTCACAAAATTTAAAAGCCTCTTTCCTTAAATTTAAGGACTTGTTTTGAAGTCAGTAATAACTAGAAATGAAAAAGTAAACTAATATATTGAGGCCTCTAATATATAAGTTGCCCGTGCCTCACATTTTCTCTTATTTCAGTCTCTGTACATATAATAGCTCTATATACATAAATCATCTAGGTCATATTTTGAAAATCCGTAAAATTGTTTATATAAAATATCCGGAAAAAATACTTTTTCCTTATTTTTCTTTTAATTTTGCTTTCAGTTGAGTTGCTTTTAATTTTATCAACTTTTCATAATTTTCTTATGAGTGACAAGTAAAAAAACTTATAAAACAAATATATTACAAAAATAACAGCTTAACTTGTATTAATGGAAAATGTTTTATATATCCTGAAAAACTAAAAGTTGAAAAAATTTCATGGAATTCCGGAAATATCTGGAAAAAGATAATTCCTGGATATATAATAGTTAAACAGAATTTTTTTTATTGAAATCATACTCTTTAATTGAACTATATAAACAAAAAAAAAATAAAAAAAACTCAAACATTTCTTTTTAAACATAAATTGTTTTCTAAACTATCAAGCTCTTGCAATTTTGAAAATTTATTTTTCTATAACTTTCTTAAATCATTTGAAGTAACTATAAAACTCCTTTTTTTCTTCTGCTTTTAATGCATTACTATATCCTTCTTTTTTAAATCATCAGCTGACGCTTGAAGTAGTTTCTTTCTTCGAACACCATCAATTTCAATGGAAACAGGTTTTCTTTTTAATATTTCAGTTAACTCTAACTATTTTGCACTTTCCAACACAACTTCATATCACCTTCTAGACGATTTAACAGATTTTAACATTTCTCTAGTAATTGGAATATCAGCAGCATTTTGTTGCTTTGATGAAATGTGATCATTTACTATTCTTAAGGCAGTTAGAGAATCTTTACTGAAATTTTAAACAAAATAATCCTTATTTACTTTGAGCCCACATTCAATGGCAGCCTGGCATGAGACAAGCAAAATAAACTATGCAGACATCCTAAAGAGATATATATCTATTTACAGGTATATGCTGAGCAAGAAAAATATCAAATATCAAAAAATATCAAATATCTTCATAGTTTTTATATATGACGAAAATTCTGTATCATGCTTACAAACAATGATTGTTATAAACTGAAAATACTTTATGTGCTTTGTCATCAACTTTTGATTTTAAATATCCAAAAGCCACTACCACTAGAAGCCACAAAATTTTGCAATAATTTAGAAAACTTTAATTTGTTACACTCTAGCTCTCTGCTATCTGCCAATTTAATTGGATTCAAACAAGATGAGCACCTGACAAAAAGATATTTTATGAAAGATTTTTCTAATACATTAGTTAGGAGTGAAGATAAAAACACATTTTTAGTAAGTAATTTTAGTAATAAATGAAGGGTTTTTTATTGTAGCTTTTAAAATGCTAAACTATATCTAATGAGGTTGCTTTGATTTTGGTAAACTTTGTAAGTGATTAATAAACTTTAAATACCCAGGAAAAATAATTGCTGCTTGTTCACAACAGTTTTGATAAACACACCAATGATGGCCACAGTAAGGTAAAGAGTAAACCTTTATTTCATTCCACATTGCTTTCATTTATTTACCAAGCTTCCATTCAGATTTATTGATTGATGTTTTTAGGTTTCTATGAATTGTGCGAAGGCCACACAATTCATGGAAGCCAATGTCTTTTAAGGCTGGATACTAATTAAGTTTGTAATCTTTTTTTACAAGTCTTAAATATTTTAAATTGACATTAGGCCAAAAATATTATAATACTATAAATATTATAATTTGATTTGCAAGACCTAAAACTCCACAAGCTCAGATATAAAACAAAAATAAAATAAAACAAAACTCAAAGTAATTTAAACAATATATTTAAAATAATGAAAACCTTTCAATTAAGTAATAAATCAGAGATATTTTTTTCTTGTTAAAAACGAAAATAAAACCATTATATATAATTTTTTTTAATTTTACTGCAATATAATAAGTAATTTTTTAACTTTATTTAAAAAAAGAAAAATTTCAGGACGTTTTTGAAAAAAAAAAAAAATTTTATTTATATATTTGTGTTATAAGGGCAATTCCACGGCCAAAAATGAACAGAAGTCAAATTTTAAACTCTTTTAAAACAGTTTTTAGCAAATGAATATTGATGCAGACACATGAAAGTTTATTTAAAATATTTCCTTAGAACAAAATTAAATTTATTTCAGTCATTTTTATGGTTTCCAAAGTGACGGTTATTCTCATTTTTGCTTGATAAAAAAAAAAAAATTATTGTAAAATGTTTTAGTTAAATTAACATTTATGTTAATTTTGCTATATTTTTTGGTTCAAATTGATAAGGTTGAATAGACATTTTATTAGAAATTAAACTAAGACAAGGCTCGAATTAACGCAAAAAAAATCTAATTGCGAAAAAAAAAAATTTTTTTGCGCCCCCCTCTCTTATAGCTTGCGTCCATTTGCAGTAATGGGGGGAGGGGGTTGCATTAGTATAAAATTGTCTCTTTAGCACGTAATTGTTATCTTTTAACATACTATCTCTCATATTTAAATGTTATCTTATGATTTTCTTGTTTGGCGGAGTTTAAATAGCATAAGTTACTGTTATAATTTAAAGCTTAATTTATAATTTAAAGCTTAAGTTGCAGTTACAGTGTAATGAGCAAGTAACGTATTTAATACTATTAACTAAGTAATTGTTTTAACTTAATATGATACTTAAAAAAAAAGAAGTAAAAAAATAAGAGTAAAAAGCAAACATTACTATATTTCAGTGACAGATCAAGGGTGAAGATGGGGGTATGCCTCCCCTCGCCCCCAACAAAATCTGAAAGTCTTGAAAATATCATAGAAATTGATGACCTTGTTTTTTGCTTTTTTTTTAAGGAGACGCAAACATAGTACAAAATTCAAAAATATTTTAACATTCCCATCCACCCAAAATTCCTGGATCCGTCATTGCAATATTTAAGCCACTTTAATTAGTTATAGAAAACTGTTTAATACGATCACGCTGACAATGAAACACGTGTTTTAAATGAGTATTTAATTGTTATTGTAAAAAGCTATAATAACAACAAGTTGTCTTTAAAATATGAATAGCTTGTGTTAATGTAAAACAACTTCGTGACACTGTTTTGTTGCTGTTTTATACAGTTTAATAACATAAAATGCGTTTAAAATAAAACGAAGCAAATAAATGAAATTGTTTTAATTAATAAATTAAAAAATTATTATCAATAAATCAAAAAACATCGTCAAAAACTTTATAAAAAATTAGATACAAAGTTTTTTATAATTTATTGTTTCTTGAATAAAAGACTAATAAAAGTTTAAATATAATTAAGTTTTTCATTTAAATGGTTTTTAAGTTGATGTTTTTATTCAATTTCTCTATTTCAATAGTTTTCCAATAAAAAGTGAAACAAAAAAATTTTAATAAATCGAATTATACTTCATGTTTAAAATAAGACTTAAAAACGTTAAAGTAAAAAAATTGTTGGTTTTTATTAGCATTTTTATACTGTTTGAAAAAAAAACTAATAAAAAAGAATTAACTAATATTATATTAATTAATAATTATTAGAATTAATAATAATAAAAATAATTAACTCTTTTTTATTAGTTTTTTTTTCAAACAGTATAAAAATGCAAATAAAAGTCTGCAATTTTTTTGCTCTAATGTTTTTAAGCCTTATTTTAAACATGAAGTTTTGATAAACAAAGATAAAAACTAGGCTGTTTTGTTAGAATGAAGAAAAAATTTGAATTAACGTCTTTTCCTTTTTCAACTTTTTGCTTAAACAACATTTTAAAAATTTTCCACACAGAGATTTAAAGTAATTTAAATTCAAAATTTTTTACGTTGAAAGAAAATCTCAGCGCAAATCATCTATTCATCTATCTATTCAGAATAATAAATTTTGTGTGACGTTCTTTATGATAAAAACATTACTTATAAGAATTGCTAAAAAAAAAAAAAGCTAAGCTAGAAAAAAAAAGTAATTAAAAATAAAAAAAAACAACAAAAAAAACAAAAAACATATAGCGAAAAGATTTTTTTTTAAAGAAAAAAGTGTGAAAAGCAATCGCGATTGCGATACGCTTAATACGAGCCCTGTAAGACTTTTTTTATAAGTTCTAAACTATTTAAAACTATTACTCAATAACTTTTTTTAACGACGTCTTTAAATCGAATTCTATTATACTGTTTTTGCAAAACTAATTAAAAAAACTTGATAAAACTTAACTATTTAATCACGACTTTTTTTTACTTGAAAATCAAAGTAGATTTCTAAAGTTGTTGTGACGTACTAACGTGATTTTTAACAACTAACAATCGAGTTTCAATGGTAAAAAATAAAATCAAAATGAAGTTGTTTTTCAGTGATTTCTGCAATTGCTTTTTGTTAGCATGCATTTATTATTACAATTTAGTGAAAAAGAAAAAAAAACTTACATATTTTTTTCTATGCTCTTTCATATGAGATCATATGTTAGGAGCACTTAGGGATCCCTTTAAAAAAAGCACCAGTGAGTACTGTATTTGAGTGCTCCGAAAATGAATGGATAATGTCGAATAGTTGCAACATTTATTAAGTATACAAAGTTAGAGAAGATTTAAAATATCCAAGTGTTTCTTTATTTGGATGGGCACACTACCCATACAAAAAATATTCAAGCAATAAAACAAGCTTGTAAGTACAGCGCTATAATGTTGTCCTATACTGCTGATACTATTCACTGTCTCCAACCTTTGAACAATTAAACAAACAACTGTTTCAGAACTATTAGAAATTTCAAACTTTTATAGACATTACTTTGAATGGTTTCTGCTGGCATTTCGTTTGCAATAGACATAAACTTAATAGTGATTTTGATGCTCCACCACTTGTAATTAATAACTTTAACTCAGATAAAACTCATTTTTTTTCAGCCAATTATTATCGCAATAATTTAGACCTTCCTATATTTATGAACAGCAATGTACTTGACGAGTCTCCTACCCTTCATCTTCTAGAATTAACTCTTCTGATCTTTCTTGGAAACCTTATATCAAATCCGTTGCAAAATTAGCATCTGCTAAAGTTGCTTCTCTTTAGCAAGCTCGTCACTTTCTTACTCTGGATTCTATTCTCTATCTCTATAAATCTCAAATCCTGCCTTGTATGGAATACTGTTGCCATACCTGGGGTGGATCTTCTAATGATGCCCTTTCTCTTTTAGACAAGGTGCAAAAACGCATTGTAAACATAGTTGGACCTGCTCTTGCAGCCAACCTTCAACCTATGTCACATCGTCGTAATGTTGCTTCTCTTTCTCTTTTCTACAAATACTATAATAACAACTGCTCTAAAGAGCTAGCGTCTCTTGTGCCATCTACTAAAATTCATTCTCGTGTTACTTGTCATTTAATTAAGTCTCATCCTTTTTCTGTTACTGTTCCTAAGTGCTTTAAAAACACTTATTCGTCTAGTTTTTTTCCTCGAACATCAGTTCTTTGGAATTCGCTTCCTTCATCTTGCTTTCCTGATTCATATAATTTGCAATCATTTAAGTCGCCTGTCAATCGTTATCTTGGCATACAATCTTCATCTTTTCTCTTTAAGTAACTTCTAACACTAATTAGTGGTTGTTTGCAGCCTTGTTGGAAGCGAAGATATTTAAAAAAAAAAAAAAAAATTAAGAAAAAATTTAAATTCACAAAATCACCTGTGATTAAGAAAAAATTAAAGTTATACAAAATATATATAGAAATTGCTTCTTTACATACATATTATTATGTCACATCAATTAAAAAAGTAAAAACTTGCTCTACAGGTGATTGTTTTTGCAATCTAGGGGAAACTCCAAAATACATGGTATTAAATTAGACATTTTACTACTGTTTTGTGACTGTTTGAAACCTCATAAATTTTAAAACTAAGTGCGCGTGCGCGTGTGTGTAACAAATTAAAAGCAACATACAACTTTATTGATTACTCTAACTATGCAAATATAGGAAATATAACAAGCAACTATGTTATTATGCTAGTTACATAGCAATAATTACATTAAAAAACAAACAAAAAATTTTGAAGTCATTCTACAGTAATTAAAAATTGTTTTTATCATACCTTGATAACAACGTATGTGGTAATTGAATATTTTCTACTGTGGTAAGGTTAGGATCCCATTGCGATTTTTGTGGATTTGCTGCTGCCAAGATAGAAGTACGAGCATTTAATTGACAAATGATTCCAGCTTTTGCAATAGAGAGTGTTTGTTGCTCCTAAAATGTTTTTTAATTAATTTTATAAACATAAATTATTCAAAAATATTATAGAATACAATAAGGGCTCAACAAACCAACGATTGTTTAGCATAAAAAATGACCAAAAAAAAAGAAGAGTCAAGTTTGAAGAGACTTCTTTATTTAAGCATCAACGCTTACTCAAAAATTTAAAAAACGCAGCACTTTACTGTTTTAGTAATTAAGTTTGTTTTTGAATATTGATTTCACATTAAATAGCATTACTTTATGCTTTAAAGATAAAGATATATTACATTATTTTATGTTTTAAAGATATTTTAAAGATTAAGATTTTTCACTTTTTGCCTTTAGCCCATTTATCAGAGAAGAACACGATTCTTTTAGTTTCAGACAATCATTAGTTGCATTTGACAATCGATTTTATTGATACAGCAAAAAGAAATAGAGTTTACTTGGTAGTTATACCGCCACATACATCAGACAAACTTTAACTTTTTAGTATTTATGGATCTTAGTATTTATGGACTTTTTAAACAATTATATACTCATAAAGTAGATTCTTGGCTTGTAATCAGTTCAGGTAAAACAGTTTTCATTTTTGAACTAGCAGAACTCTCAGGTAGAGCTTAGTTTATATTATGAACTATTTTCAATATATTTTTTATATTTTCAATTTTGGTTTCTGTCTGTAATGCATATATTGTTTTTTGTTTTGTGATTGTGTATTGTTTGTTAATTATCTTAATGTTACATATCCTCAAGACCAATCTTTATGAATAGATCAGCAACAACTTTCAAATTCTTCAGTGGGCCAACAAACTTAAATGTCTAAAAGAGTGGAAACAATTGCATTTACAAATCAAAAAAGAACCTAAAACGATTTTATCTGAAAACACTCCTTTACCTAAAGCTAGAATAAGAAAAACAGCAACCAACTGAACAGAAAATTGCCTCCAGTATTTTAACAGATACACTAGTGAGAGATTCTTTATGGTTTATTAAAATAAACGCAAAGATAATAACCAAAAAATACAAGAAAAAACTATTTAAAAAAAAAATTATATTTAGAACATTTACAATATTATTATGAGTGCATTTTGCAGTTAGATAAACATTACATCAGAATATATTTTCAATTTTAAATTTATTATGATGCATTCAAAAAGAAACAGAAGTTTTTCCGAAAAATTTAAAAAAAAAGAGAAAAGGTTATTTAAAAATAGATCTTACCTAAATAACTATTTTTTTTTTAACATTTTTTTTTTAATATATACATATATAAAATTTTCTCACTTAATACTTTACTTTAACTATTTTGTTTAGAGTTAAAACATTTTTCGTTTTTATTTATCTTATTTAACTTTTTATTTATCTTATTTATATTTTTATTTATCTTTATTTTTTATGTTTTTATTTTCTTTAGAATTTAAATAAAGTTTTTTTTTTTTAATTAAAAGTTTGCCATTTTTACTTTAATTGAACTAGCAAATAAAAATTGTAAAACTGCACATGCTTGCTATAAGATCTCCATGGTAAATTACATACAGTGAAGACTTGTTATTTGTTATAAATATTGTGTATTAAACAGTATATAATGTAATTAATGAGTGCAATATACAACTACTTATGAATACTATGTGTATTACTAATGAATACTAAATTTAAAAAAAAATTTAATAAAATTAGAATGCAACTTTAATAGCGGAGAAATAAAATAAAAACATTCTTACTTACCATAACTTCATGAAGAACAGATCGTGTACTTTCTGACATTTTATCAAACTCATCAATGCAACAAATGCCATTATCACTTAACACAAGCGCTCCTCTTAAATAAAATTAAATGAAAATCTTATCCATACTACTTCATCTATTATTAAAAATAAATAAATTAAAATCTATTAAAATTGTTCAAAAATATACTTTTACAAAATCATTTTTAGTAACCCCTTTTCTGTAGAGTTTTTTTTTTTCTTTTTTCTTTTTAAACATTTTGCAAATAAAACTAATGTTTAAAACAAATATATTAAATATACATATCTATCTTTTAATCTCTCTATTGTTATATGTATATACATATTAATGCAATTCTATAAAAATATTGACTAATAAAACAAAAAAAATTTATAGAGTAATATCACATATTGATATTATATTACTCTAGAAAATATTTTGTAAAACACATTTAAAATCACCTAATTATGTATGTATGTATGTGTATGTGTATATATATATATATATATATATATATATATATATATATATATATATATACAAACACAAATAGTATTGCGTACTATTGTAAGCAACATGACATCATACTGAAATAGCCTGCTGCTGGGGGCTTCAGTACATACATCGACTGACAAATAGCCTGACTCGCAGTGGAGTGCTGCTACATCGACTGACAAATAGCCTGACTCGCAGTGGAGTGCTGCTACATCGACTGATGTAGCAGCACTCCACAGTTTGGGATGGGGAAGCAATCGTTTAATTCACCATTCTTCGTTTTTCTTCTTTTTCGAAAAAAAAAAAACGGTATAGCATAAGGTAAGCAAAAAAAGTGAGCAAATGCTTATCAAAACACGCTTTAGTAAATGTATGTATGTATGTATATATATATATATATATATATATATATATATATATATATATATATATATATATATATATATATATATATATATATATATACATATATACATATATATATATATATATATATATATATATATATATATATATATATATATATATATATATATATATATATATATATATATAAATATATACATACATACATATATATGTATATATAAACACACATACATAAAAATACATATTTATTTTTAATTGTTTAAATATAGGTAAAAACTCACAAACATTTGGTTTTATTTTCTCAAGAATCCTTTATATTATCTGAAATACAGTATCTTTTAGTATCGTGTTGAAATACAGCTGTCTAAATGTCTACATCAGTATTCCGAATGTTATTAGAATAAACTGAAAAAGACAATCAGTTAGCAAATAATTCTTTTTAAAATAATATAAGCTGCTAAACATAAACTGACAAATAATTCAATCATTTGGTACAATCTTTTGACTAGGTTTTAATAAAGTGATATGTTTTAGGTTAACCAAGATGGCGGCCATTTTAAAAACTGGCTTTAAAAAAATTATTTTTATTAAATCTCCTTGAGATATAAAATCTCTGAAAAAGATTACATAATAAAAAAATGTAGACAGAAATAACAAACTTTGAAAAAATGCACTTGATGCATTTAATATTAAAAATAATTATACTCATTTTCCACAACTATAATCAGACTGAGCTAAAGAATAACATTATATTTTATAAATACTCAACAGCATTTTTTCATTATTTACTTAAAGTCTGAAATAGTCTCAGCTTTAAATTATATATATGTACACCTTATATAACGACATCTTGGTAGATTCATTCGCGACATCGAACCAAAAGTTGAACAAATTTCCATTAAAATCCATCTACCTATGTTTTACTACAACTGCCTGTTAGTTGTACAACTGCTATTAGGATTCAAAAAATAATATCAATTTATTTTATTAGGTAAAACTGTACATGTTTACGGGTATTTAATGTTATTTAAAATAGTTTATTAGGAAAGTTTAGTCTAAATATAGTTAAGTTATGATATGCAGAAAAAGGAGCATTTAAAAAACATTAATTACAAAACACATTAGTTTAAAATAAGTTGAGGTTTTTTATCAAAGCAATTAAAAATAAGAACTGTGTTACAAGAATGAGTACGCAAAAAATTATCTAAACAATTTGTAATATGCTTAACAGAACATTTATTTTTTAAAAAATTTTTTGTATTCAATCAATAATTAACACATTTCTAACAGGATGCATAAATTCAAAAGCAAAAATTTGCCAACCTAATGTTGGCACTATTACGCTGAAATCCTTTGGTATCTATAGAATATATCTATAGAGTATCTTTAGAGTATTTATTATAGCATATATAGATATACAATTGACAACTTTTTTTGGTTATTTTATTACAAATGACTTTGTTAGAGATAAAATGCAAACAAAAAACAAAACAAATGCAGCATTTGTTTTATGATATATATTTTTTGGCTCATTACCAGTTTCAGAACTTTTAGTGGAAAGTGCACTGTGATTATAATTATCTGTGTTTTCTGCTTGCATTTGAAAAAATAACTAATTCTATAACTTAGCAAGTTAGTTGCTATTAATTTCCCTACTCAGTTCTACTTTTTGCTTCATTACTTAATGTTTTGAACTTATTTACAATTGATGTTGGCATTTTTTGCAAATTTGTTAGATATTGTTGAAGATCTACGAAATTTGTTTGCATTGCAAGTTTTCATTCCATGAATTTTTCCTTATCTCACTAGAAGCAGCATTAAAAGACATTTAAAAAAAAAAAAGTATTATGAACATTATCTAAAGTTATTTAAAATTGTGAAAAGCGTTAACTTATTTGCAACAAAATGATTTTAAAATGAATTGGGATTTATTAATTATTATTATATAGCTCATAACTTATTAATGATAAATATTAGTTATACACCAAACTTTTGAAAGCAAGTTTATCATAACCAACTTTTTAAAAACTAAATGTCAAAATTTACAAATTTATTAAACTACAAAATATTTTAAATGTTTAGTTGTTTTAACTTATATCATCAAAAATCAAAACTTGTGCATTTAACTTGTATTACGCATTTAGATAAGTAATCTGATGTCATACTGAAATAGCTTACTTCTGGGGGCTTCATTACATATATTGACTGACTAAATAGGTAGAACATGCTAAGGACGCCACTAAATCAATAGGTTAGGTTGGGGTGGGGGTGCAATCTTTTTTAATATTCTTTTATTTTCTTCTTTTTCTGAACAGTCAACGGATATTATCTATAAATGCTATAGTAGATATATACAAATAATTCTGGGTAAGTCAAACACTAGTTAACTTAAGTCATTATTATCTTGAAGTGTTTCATTTGGTCCCTTAAAATTGTTTAATTCACTACTATTAAAATTCTCTGGTTAAGACAAACCTCAGATAACCTAAACTTTATTAAAACAAACCATTTTTTGATTCTAATTCAGCAAATTTCTTAGGATAACCTAAACTTTTGTATGAGAATTATAAAAAATTTATAATTAAATATTTTATTTATTTGTTGTATTTAGATCTGAATGATTGTTGTCAGGCAAAAAATAATGCTCTAACAAAACTGTTAAAAGATAAACCATAATAAAAACTGTTAAAAAAACAATTATTGTATAGATAAATAATGTTCTAAAATACTTAGTATAATGGTGTGAATTTAAAGTATATACTTTAGCATTGAATAAAGAAAGTTTGACTTAGCAGAAATTTGCTTTAGTTGAACATTCAATAAGTCAACCAATTTATGTGGTCCCTTTTAGTTCGAGTTATTGGAAAAGAACTGTATACACTATAGTAGATGATTGGCCAGACTTATAAGTGTAAAAAAGGATCATCTTACTTTAAAAAAAAGTATATTTGTAATTATTTATTTATTTTAATTACCTTCTCATAGCTGAAAAGGCCACTACAGTTGAGAAGGCACATTTTTTTTTATTCATTTAGACTACTATTGTGGTTACCCTCTCTTAATTCTTAAACTGCACAACATGAACCCTGACAAACAAGACCTGGTGGTCACTCTGGAACAGTGATTGTAATATTACTATTTTGTAACAATCTGTTATCAAATTTAATGACTACTCATATATTTTTAAATGTTGTACTATATTATTTCATTAATTTGATTTTTTTTTTTTTAATTTAAATGTTATTACTTGTTTTTATAACTTGTATTTTAAGTTTTTAACAGCATAATATTTATATTTTAAATTATTTCTTTATTTTTTATTTTTCTATTTAGGTTAAAATAGAAGTATTTACTGTAATAGGCATAATAATTTTTAACTATTTAAAAGTTAAGTAACATTCAAAATTCCAAAAATGTCATCGTTCTCCTCAATTGTTAGGAGATATTTTGAAACAAATGTAACAGATACATAAGCAGAATGTAAATTATGCCATAAAAATGTTATATGTGTTAGCATCACAAAAACTATTAGCACTCTATATGAAAAAAATATCATTTGAATTTGGCAGATATTAGGAAGATATCATTTCATTTTAGGATTGGGTAACATTCCAAGATCAAGTGATGTTATTAAAGAAATCTCAATCGAAGCTTATCAATTATGGAATAAAATGACGATACATGTTTTACAGAAAAATCTGTGCAAAGAAAAAGTCTGCTAATCAAAATTATAAATTTGTATAAAACCTTCACAAAGTACATATAAAGACAATTATTATAAATAGCTATTAAAAAATATGGAAGAAAAACTCTTTTATGAACTTCAAAAACCTTCCAATGGGTGCAAAGGCCAGTGCAGTATTGTGACAGAGCCTATTATGACACATCCGCGAGACCTGCCACCTAAAAGAAAAGAACTTAAAAGGTTCTAAAAATGGAGTAAATAAGAGTTTAACAAAAATTATTTCAGGTTTAGTGCACCATCCTTGTTGATTTAGTGTTCTCGACCTGATTCTTAAGCATTTTATGAACTCAAAATTTGATTCCTTATCAACATTGCCTAATATTAATTACTGTTTCATTACTGAGTTGATAGTAACTAGCATGATTTAATTAAAAAATACAAGCCTAACGGGTCAGTTATTAAAAGTAAAAAATATGTCAGGAATGATTATACAGAGCTGGATTTGTTATGTAAAGGATACAAGTCTTATCGAGACACAATGAATTTACCTGCAATTCATTTGTCTAAACTAGGGCTTATTTCAAATGCACGATAGAATTCAAGAGTTATCTATTGCTTGAAATATATGTTTTTGACTCAGTCAAAAAAAGAATCAATAATAGAGGCGTGTAATTTTATTGTAGACCACAGGGTTAAGCCATGGTTCTCTTGCAGAAGAAATGTTGACAATTTTTGGCATTAACTGGTAATTACCTGGAGTGTTTGGAAAGACACTGTAATATTTGGAACTATTGTCCATTTGACATTGATTACACAAATGAAATGTGCAAAAAATCTCATGCGAAAGTTTAATTATTTCTTCAAAGAAATGTCATCAACTTAGAGGCCAAATTTCTGAGACTGTAATAAACTTTTATCTGCCTATGTGTGTTATTGTAACAAAATAATTTATTGTTTGAACTATACTTACTTCTATGACATAATTTTCAAAGACTTATAACTAAAAATTTAGAACTCAACAAACATTATCTTTACCCCAAGTTACATAGATTTTTATGCATAGTTTGTAAATATGGAGGCTAGCCACGATAGACAATTTGCAGGACCTGCAAGTTTGGGGGCGTTTTTCAAATTTAGGGGTACTTTTCCAAATCTAAGGATTTTTTTTTTAGTAATACACCTAGTAATAGATTTTTACGATTTTAACGCTCCAATGACAAGTTTAAGGGAAGGGGCTCTGACCATCTAGCCACAGCACTGTTTGTAAGGTATTTTCATCTCTATGTAAATTTGTTACTTTTTTTTTTTTTAATTAACATTTTAGTTTATAAAAGTCATTCCTTTTAAAAACAAGACTTTTCAATCTGTCGCAACTTGATTTAATAACTTGATTTTTGAAAAATTTTATCATTTCAAAAAAATGAGTTTGCGCAGAAGGTTTTTGAATCTGTTACGGTTAAAATTTAAAAGCTGGTTGCCAAAAACTGGAGAGCAACTTTTTATTTCGCACCTAAATTATAAATATAAATACCTAAATTTCCAGAAATCCTTACACAAATAATTATTGCAAATAAAATTACATAATTCTTCATTGCCCTGTAGGACAATGATTTTTTGATTTAATTTACAGTCTGTGTCATGTGTCTTAAAAATAAAGGTAAAAAATAAATTCTGGAATTCTAAGCTGAATTATTTTAACTCCAGCCATAACCCAAACGAACTAAAAGTTACAAATTCTGGCAGGATTTCCGATATGCACCTATTTATAACTGAAATATCTATTTGCAAGACTGCATTTTTTAATAAATTTGAAAATGTAAAATTTAAGCAAAGCCAATAAACTTTAATAGTATTGTGGAATTTTAAAACATAAAATTATATATACAATTTTCTTTTTTTTAAAAAAAAAAATTATTTTACATATAGCATCTTAACTATAAGCATTATATAGCATCTTAACTATTAAACAATAAAAACTTAGGCCTACTACTGAACTACTAAAAAACTCACGTTTGCAAAACTAGTTGGTTTGTTTCTGGATCTCGAGTTACATATGCTGTCAAACCAACTGCTGAAGAACCTTTTCCAGAAGTATATTGACCACGAGGCACAAGGTTGTGAACATACTACCGAAAAAATAAAAACATTTTAATAGCTAAACACAAACTTAAAGAATAAACAGAAACAAAAGTTATATACTTGTAATAGTTGTGATTTACTTGTCCCAGGGTCACCACATAAAAGAATGTTTATTTCTGATCTAAAAATGTAGTTAAGAAAATATTAGCTGTTTGCTGCCTTATTTACTTTAATACGCATTAACATAAATAAAAATTGTAAAAAAAATAAGAGGTGTTAGATAACCAGATTGTTTAATTAGTTTTATTGTATATTGTATTATATATTTCAATTATTTAAAAATTGAATAAGTATTATAATATTGTAATAAAAGTGTAAATAACAACTTAAATAAAAATAAAAAATACCTAAACTTTCCACGACCAGCATGCGTAAAATCTTTAGCTGTACCACCAAAAAGCTGCAATAAAATGCCTTTTTTGATATCAACATTTTCATAGATGCTTGGGGCTATATAGATAGGTAAATTAAAACAAATATTGAAATAGAGAATAATAAAAATAAAAACTTAGTTTACCTAATGCCTTGGCAAGTCTTTCATAAATATCTGGCATCTTTGAAAGTTTACTTAAATATTCAATTCTTTCTTGGGTAAATGTTACTTGACTATTGAAAGTAAAAACATAAGTTACATTAATTTTAACATATAATAAATTTCTTAAATAAAAAAAAAGTTAAGGGATGTGATTGTTTATTTTTAAAAGTTAAAAAATTATTGTTATTTTTAAAACCTTAAATGTAAAAGCTTGTTTAAAAAACAAACTTGATGCATTTAAATTTTATTTGAGTTCTTTTCACATAATTAAAAATTTAAAGCTTAAACCTGTCTGAATCTCTTTCATACAACTTTCGTTTATCAGACTTTCGAAAATGAATAACATCAATATATGTCTTGTACACAGCTTTCACATTTCTCATGCGTGGATTCACACGAAGTGGAGTAGCGCGATATATTCCTGTTACTGTTACTCTAAATTTAAAATTAAGGTAAAAAAAAAAACAATCAATATTGACATGAGTGTTTTACAAAAAAATAATAATAATACAACAGTGAGAGATAACATAAGTATAACAATGATCGATAAAATTCAATGTTTTTTAATTTCTTCAATTTCAATACTGATAAAGTTAACAAAAAATTTTGAACATCAATTATTTTGAAATATATTATTTGAAATAACAATGTGGAGTATATCTGTTATAGGTATAATAATATAACACAATTAAAGTTAATGACATACACACATACCTACACAGTATATTTAAAGTATAAAAGTAAGAATTTTTTTTCTTTTGTGAAAAAATTCTTACTTTAATATGTTAAATGTGTATAAGAAAAGTGTGGGGCAAACTGGCACCGAAGAAACCATTATATTGCTTTTTTTATAAGACTTGGTATTATTTCATAACCAATATAACCAAGTAAAAATTGAAAAAAGTATTCTATTTCAAAAATAAAGTGCTTTCACTACTTTGGTTGTAACTAAGTACTGAAAAATTAATAAACTTACAAACAAATTGGTAGATTCAGAGGTAAAAACATCCAGTTTTTACCCATAAACTTCAAAGCCATAAACAAAAAGATACTTTTTTATAAAAAGAAAAATTTTCTATTATTCATGATTAATTTATCGCTTAACCTTCAATTGAATTTAAACAAGTTGAAAGTTTAAAACATGCTTTTAAAGTAACTTAATTTATTAGGATTTCTTTTTTTAGAAAAAAATGTTCACAAGCATCATTATTGTTTTTTATTATGTTAATTTTATTTGAAAAAGTTAAAATAAAATTTTATTTTACTTATGAAAAAAAAAAAAAATTCAATGCAATTAATAATTCTTGTGCCCATTCAAATTATTCAAAATTCAACTAATACATTTAAAAAAATGATACAGTATTTTTAATTGAAAGAAAATGTAATTTTGAAACTTAAATTGAGAAAAAAAAAACATGACTTAAAATGTGACTGTAATGTTTTTGATACACTCACATTTTAAATTAAAAAGAAATCATGCTTCTAAAAAATAGTATAACAGTATAAAACTTTTTAAATCTTGTGTTAAGTATAAAACTTTTTAAATCCTGTGTGTGCCTAACTTAATTTAAGTCAGAATCATTTTATTAGATTTAGAAAAAAATTATTTAATCAAATTATTTAAACAAAAGCAATGAAATGTTCATGGTTCAAAATAAGCTTTTATTATTACTTTTTTGTTAAGTAACTTTTGTTAAGTAACCTGGATTTTTTTCAAAATTCAAGTCACCCTTTAAGAAAACAAGCCACCCTATGGCACCATACAACCTTTCAGGTTCCACCCCTAAAAATTCAATGAAAAATAAATATCCCTGAGATTCAAGAAATAAAAATAGTATTTTTATTTAAATGATAAAACTTTTTTGATTTTTTATTAAGGACGCATTTTTTTAAATATGTCTAAACAATCATACAGTTTTCTTATGTTTTAATTAATAATAGAAAATGCTGAAAACAAACTTTGACACTTTGTGATTTTAAAAATGTAGTTTTATTATTATTTTAGATAGTACTTTTCTTTTTATAGAATTTTTGAATTAAAAAAAACAAAACAAACTAGAACTGCCAATAAAAATCCATAAACCTCTCAGGCAACTTAATTGCACTAAAGAAATACTTTTAGTTGCCCTTCACAAAATTTGGTCACCTGGTACCATAAAAAATTACTTACAACATAAATCTATAAAACTTAATAACATTGCTCAAATTTCACTATCAGAATTTTTTTTTTACTTTGTAAACAAACTATAACAATTAAAAACTGGTACAAATATCCTCTTCCTATATATAAGTATAAATTAGAATATAATAAGTATAAATTAGAAAATAAAATTTTAATTAGAAAATAAGCTAAAAGCACCTGTCACCAGCCTGAACAGTATCAACAAGATCACTGTATGCATACATAATAACAGTATGTGGTGTCTGTCCAGCAGGCATATCATCAGGAGATTCTTGCATTTTGACCATTTGTTTGTCAGTAAATCGGGAACGATTGTGTATCAGTGCCATTCCTTGTTGAGTATTGCAATTTGAGCAAGATGTTGGTTCAACAATAGTTCCCCTGTCAATTTCCACAGTTTGAGTCATGTGACATACATTACACTTAAAAAATGCTGAAATATAAAAAATGTAGGAAAATCTTTTTATTACTATAGTAGATTAACTTTTTAAATTTAAGTATTAAGACATACATAGATATAAAAAGTCCTAAATGTGTTAAAAATTCTTTAACTAAATTTGACTAAAAAAAAAAATTCAAGGCATCCCCATCTGGCAATATTTGAAACTGGCTTCACTCCTAATATAAAAAAAACTGAACTCAAAATACAAAGGTCTCGACCAGAGAAATAAAATATCAATAAATGTAAGTGTTTTGCTATTACAAAAAAATTTAAATAGTAACTGAAAAATAATTAAACAAAACATTAGAGTCTAATATTATGTCCACTGTGCATGCTCATGATTTTATATATATTAATTAACAAAAAAAAACCTTAATAACATATTTTTTTACATTAAAAACCTTTTACAAACCTTCACTCATCTCTGGGATAATACTGGAAGTTCTTATTATCATCCCACTTATAGTTATCATTTGGTCAATATCTATAAAAAAAATTTTTTAACACATTAAAAAAAAAGGAGCATAAAATACAAATAAATTATCAATACTACAAAACAAAAACAAATAATCAAAACTGCATTATATAAACACTAATATAAACACTTTACCTTCTGGATTTAACTATATATACACACTAATATAAACACTTTACCTTCTGGATTTAACTATATAAACACACTAATATAAACACTTTACCTTCTGGATTTAATGAGCGCATGTTCATTGTTTTATCAACATTGAAAGTCCGAACCTGAAATATAATTTTAAATTTTTTTTTAAAAATCACTAAATTAAGTTTAAAAGTTATAAACTAAACAAACAACAAATACTTGTATCTGATGATTAAGAGCAGTATCTGGAAACTTTTCTTCAAATAGTTCATTAATAGCAACATCAAACGTTGGTATAACTTCTTGTGGATAACATATCAACTGTCTGTACAAATCACTGTGGTACTTCTTTAAGTGTTTGCAATCAATATTTAGAAAAGCATTTTCAGTGATGCTAATCTAAATCAAAAAATATTGTTTATGTTTATACTAATGTTAAACAAAGATGTTTCGCTAAGTATCAAGATAGATGGATGTTAAAAACAAAGAACTTTTAACCATCAAATGTTAAATTTTTTTCAGCAAATATAATTATAGAATTAAAATTTAATTTTTCAATTATGTTTAAATTAAATTATAAATTGCATATCCTCTTTTAAACAACACAGAACTAATAAAACTAATAATTTTAATACCTCTTCAAGCTTTTGAATATACAATGGTTTGTCTTGTTCATATTCATTATTTACATCAAAGTCATCATCAATGTATGTTAAAACAAACTGACGAAATCTTTCTTTTGTGTCTGTTACAACAACGTCTGTACCCCAAATGACAAGTTTTGGCTCACTTGGAATATCACTTGATAAAGGATCATTTGCATCAGACTGTAGAAAAATTAAAGTAGTTGAGATCGGATAAAAATCACACTCAAATGAAAATTAAATTTAAATCTAATTTTGGCTAACCTAATAGAAGATAAATTCTCTAATATTTTTTAATAATATTTATTGTTTTTTAGACATTGGACTTCAAAGTTTGACAAAGTTTTTAGAATTATGACCAAATGATGCCAAACATTTTTAAACAAACTTGAAATAAGAACTAAACCTATACTTTTCCATGTTTTTTTCATTATTATACATTAGCTAGTTGATCTAAGACCTAAAAGAGAATAGTTGATATGTTATGTTAGCTAGTTAATAGAATGATATGTTAGCTTGTTAATCTCAGACCTAAAAAAGAATAAATTTTATATGGTTGGCAGACAGCTAATCTAAATTTCATGCTTCAAAAGTACACAAAATTGATTTTTCATTGTTTAAAATTATTCTGAAATTTAAATTATTTACGTAGTTATTACAACCGAAACTTTAAAACACTTGTTTCTATGCTTATTGCATGTGTTTCACACTACTTATCGTATACATTGGTGACACTTGTGGTATATTTTAAAAAATGTTATAGTGTTTGGTTTATAATGCACTTATGGTTAAAAATGTAAGATTAATCCATTTGTAACATTTTATCAATTATTTTTAGATATGTAAATAGAAAAGAAGGTAAAAAAAACATTAGTTATATACAAATTTAAATAATACTATGAATTAAAATTAGAGATGTATTTTTTATCATTCTATTACATATCCTTTAAATTCTTAAACTAAAAAAATGTACTAAAATTATAGAAATAACACTCAGATAATCATGGTAGAAATCAAATAAAGTATTATTTTATAATCTACCTTATTTTAAACATTTGAATGATATCTAATTTCAGATAAAACTTCATGACTTTCTTTTTCCTTTAAAACTTTCTCTTTTTTTTCCCTTTAAAACTTTCAAGTTTTTCTTTCTTTTTAAGCATTTTTGTTTAACATCTTTTTCTCTGTAAACAATTGTTTTTTCATTACATTTTCTTCTTCCATTTTTAACTTTTTTTCTGCAACAAATTGTTTCTTTCTTAATTTTTTTTCCCCTATTTTTAGATTCTTGCTCTTTTACGTTTTGAATATGCTTCTATGTTTCAAATATCACAACGGAAAATAAATGAAAAACTTCCATATTAAAATAGTGCATTGAATCATTCAAACAATAAGCATTTTCTCCTAAAAACATCAGAATTTCAGCAAATTAATCTCTTATGGTTTTTTCAGTTACTTCTCTAGATAGACTTAAATATTCGTCACATTTTGGAAATAGCTATTCATGATGACGTAGAAATGCATAAAACCAACCTTTTGCAGGGCTATGGTAAGTAAATAGTGTTTTTATATTGTTCGAATTCAAATATTTTTGTACAGTACTGTAATAGACAACAGTAATAACAGACATGGTAAATCCCATTCTTGTGCATGTCAATAACCATTTAACTATCTTGTTTTCAATGCGTTCACTTATTACAGATACTCTCAGTGTTGTATCTTCATAAAAGTTCTACCAGATAGTTTATCACAAAGCATGTAATAAGAAATTTGCCCTGCTTGCTGTGTATACAACCATACCTTTTCTAAATGTTTGTACTTATAAGTATTATACTAGAGAAAGATTTGTAATAATGAAAATTTTCGAATATTTATAACTTTAGATAAAAATGAATACCAAAAATGACCAATAATCAGTTTTACATACTTTTGAAGCATGATATTTAGCCAAATATCTGCCAAACATAATTTTTAAGATTTTTTTAAACTTTATTCATTTTTAGGTCTCAACTAGCTAGCATATAACAATGAAATTAAATAACTATGAGAAAGTATTGGTTGTGTTCAAATTTCAAGTTTAGAAAGGCATTCAACATTATTTAGTTAAAAACCCAAAAATGTTTGTTAAACTTCTAGGGAACAAATAATTAATCAAAAAAGAAATCATTTATGTTAGGCCTATGTTGTTATTTTCTTACTATTGTAATACCCCATAAGCATTTTTTACAATTTTGGTAGATTAAAAAAATTTATCAAATACTAGTAGCTTTAGGTAAAAATAAAGATCAAAAATGACAAAAAAAAACAAACAAACTGTTTTCGTGTAATTTTGATATATGATATTTTGATAATTTTATCATTTTTAGTTCTGAACTAGCTAATAATTTGGTTAAAAAACCCATTGGATGCTATGATAGCATTTTTTTGCCATTGGAAAAACCAATAGCAAAAAAATACTATCATGGCAAGCAGTTTGTAGTTGCAGAAGGATGAGTAGAGCATTTTGTGACATCATTAACTTTGACATCAGAAATTTGTATTCAAGAATGGCTTCAAAAGTGACTTTTGCCACTAATATAATTTCAGGCTAGACCTTGTTTGCTTTTTTTTTTTTTTTTTTTTTTTTAAGAACAATTTATTGACATTGGGACCATTCATTTTAGTGAAAAGAACTAACTCTGGTTGCAACTTTTTAAAATGATCAAGAAGGTCCTCCACAGTATACCTATACTCCACAGTATAGTATACTCCACAGTATACCTACATTGTTCCAAAGTACAGTTATGATTTGGCATAAGTGTTATTTTGTTATTATTTTTTGTCTGTGATGTAGTTTTCTGAACCTAAATATAAACTTTAGCTTATCCAATTTTTTATGATACCCTTCAGCAATTTCAGAATCTGGAAACATACACTTATCTTTAGCATTGTCACTATTAGCTGCAGCAATCCACAGTTTGATTCCATAATATATAATTAAACAATTTCGGCCAAAACTACTTGTATTTTGGCGCGTAATATAATGCTTTTTGGAGATCCAAACCACCTGAACTAGTCACAAAATTGTAATCTTGCTGATTTTGTGTTTGTTTTTTTTTTTCATGTTTCTTTAACTTCAAATTAAGAATAAGATACCAGCTGAAATGCTAATGCCTGTACAACAAAACCTACAAAAGCCATAGTTATTAGATTTAAAGCTTTGATTAATGGATAACTCTTTACCCAGGCTAGTTGATACTTGGTCATTCCCATATCAGTCTTTCACAGGAATGCGTGCGATGGCACGTCTTTACATGACCACACAAAAAGTAATTTGACCATGGATTTTGAAATATTTTTAAAATTTAAAAATGTGCTACAAAAACTTACTTGAACTTATCTAAAAAAAAAACTTAAAAAAAACAACAAAAAATCTTAACGAAAGAGAGAAAAAAAAAAAAAAAAAATTTACTAAATGAAAATCACACACACACACACACACAAATATATATATAATCCTCGGAATTAGTAAAAATGAGGTCGGCAATAATTTGCCGACCTCAATCTTTTTGAGGTCGGCATCAGTTCGACAAAAGTTATTTGATACAAAGGTCTGACCATAAAATATAGAAAAGAGGTTGGCAAAAAATTGCCGACCTCAAACACTTTCAGTTAAGCAGTTAGGTTGGCATTGCTAAATGCCGACCCTAATTCCTAGGGTTGTATGAATGTATATATATATATATATATATATTTTATATATATTTTATATATATATATATATATATATATATATATATATATTTTATATATATTATATATATATATATATATATATATATATATATATATATATATATATATATTTTATATATATATATATATATATATTTTATATATATATATATATATATATTTTATATATATATATATATATATATATATATATATATATATATATATATATATATATATATATATATATATATATATATATATATATATATATATATATATATATATATATATATATATATATATATATATATATATATATAACCCAACTAAAACAAAACTCATCAAACTAAAATGCTTAGTCTATTTAATTTACGAATTAAAAAACTATTTCACTCATTGTTTTAACATTTATACTTTGTTTTTTGTTTTTTTAATGTTTTAAGATAATTATCATCAAAAATACTTAATAACATAAGTAAAAAAAGGACAACAGTTTGTTAATATTTATTATAAAAATTCATTAGAAGTGTTTTGTCACTTTTTTGTCATTAAAAAGCGATTTGATAGTATAAAAGCATTTAAGAACAAACTTTTTAAATTGAAATGGCTTTTAAAAACATTTGTCTTTTTTTTTCAATGAAACTTTGTTTATCTCTTTTTAAATGCATTAACTTTAATTATTTTTATTAAAATTTGCGAAAGTGACTTTCGTTTTCGTAAAATTCCACCATTTATAAAAACAAAACAATTTTTTATTTTTTAATAACGTTTTTATAAAAAATGCACACTTAAACAATTTATATATTACAAATTTAAATAATATATACAACTGTCAATTGAACTTAAAAAAAAAAACAGTTTCGCTAATATAAAAACATTTGTTAAAAGTGTGATCGCACGTCTTCCTGTGAAAGACTGCATATTGAAATATTTACTTTGAGCAAATTTAAGCTATTCAACTTAAAATAAAAATAATAACTTCTACTCTGCCTAAAATGCTTTTAATTGTTATGCTAAAATTATAACAGACGTTTAATCATTTTATTTAAAACTATAATATTGAAATAGCTTTCCAAAGATATTTTTAATGATGGTTCTGTAGAACTGGTTTCAGCTAACATGTCAATGATAAGCAAAACTCTGATAAAAAACTCCCCAATAAAATCACAGTAAAATTAGGAGCCTGTAAACCTTGGATAGCAATCTTTCCAGTTGTAGTATCATGTAAAAATACTAATTCCTCATCTTTGAAACAATGCCAGAAAGGACATCTGCTTATAAAAAAATTGTTGTAATTCTTTTTAAATAATTTAATTTAATCTAGAACACTGCTATATGAAAACCCATCCAATCAACACTAGTGTGGAAACAAATGTCAAGTTTTAAAAATAAAAAAAAACAATTCTTATTTCATAATTCATACTAATTACTATAATTTAACAATTCATGTTTAACATATCACACAATAAACACAAGAATTTAATTTAAACATTTTCATGTTTTAATAATAGTAATAATAATAATAATAGTAACAATAACAACAATAATAATAATAATAATAATAATAATAATAAAAACAACAATAAAGACTATGTAATAAAAAATTAACCTTAAATAAAATTAGTACATTTTAGTAGAAAAACATAACTTTACATATTTATTTTGAATCTTGATTGTATCTTGATTGCCTCCTATAAAACTGTAGCTTCACATTAAAAAACAACAATTGTTGTCAATTAAGGGGAAAAAAAAAAGAATGCTATCATTTTTTTGAAATTCAGAATAATTTATATACAAACTAGATTCCTTAGATATTTACAAGTACTTCTTTTATATATGTACAACTACTCACAAGCAATTATATTGTAATGCCATTTAGTCATTTACTATTATAACATCAATTGTAACTTCCTGTTGCAAATGACTTCCTATACAAATTTTAACTTTGTTTATTACAGAAAAATAAACATATATACTTTAATAAATGTGGTTAGACTTTAAAAAAAAACAGGCTGTTGCTTTATTAACTGGCTAAAAAACAGGAAAACATGCCAAAATGGAAAAAATAGGAAAAAAACAGGATTAAAGGCCATAGGAGCCATGATACTGTATTATTTTAATAAAAACAATTATTATAAAAATCTTAGCTATTATAAAAATGCCATTATAAATAAAAATTGTATAAAAAGATTAAAATAAATTTACTAATGATATTAACAATTTAATAAAAATTCAAAAACTACCTGTTCAGCAGCTCCTACATTAACCTGTCTATAAGTTTTATTGCTTCTTACATCACTTCGTAAACGAGCAGGTGTTCCTCTCCTATAAACATAAAAAAGAAGGTTTGAGAATGATAATCAAATTATTTTGAATAATCTTTGGAAATTCTTGTGGTGCTATACTGAATCCTATAAAGCAAAAACCAATGTCGCTTTTGTGAAAGTTAGAGCTTGCTATAATGACCTTTTGATTTTAGTTGAGAAGTGTGCTTATTTTTTTAACATTTTGTCGTGTTAAAGGCTAGCAAAGCATCAAAACAAAAAGTGGAGTGTTTTATTCATCCATTATTTACTCATTTACTCATCCATTATGTTAGAAGTTTTAAATCATCAAGACTAAATCTTAAAACTTTAAACAAGTTTTGATAAAAAGTATTTAAAAAAAAAAATACAACTGTAGTTCTGTATAACTACAACAAATTTGTATTTTCCTCAAACTATGCAGGCCATGTAATAATGCAGAATAATAAAGATTTAGCAGCAAGTATAAACAGTTGATAAAACTAAAGGTTTTAAAGAAAAAGTTACAAATACTGTATAGTTATTTGATTAAACTAATTAAAACAATCCCAGTAACAAATCCAGTTGTGTTTTAGTATAATACAGTATGAGCATCTTAAGACATGTTTCCCTGAAGCAGTCTGTTCATTTTACATGGTTGATCATTTTTTATAAAAAATAGGATAGATTAAAAGTAGGATTACACTGTTCACAGAAGAAAGCCTGATTTCAAAAAGTCTGTTATGAAAAAAAAATTGTACATTGTGAAACTGGGTTTGATAGTTGTGGTGGTTTCCTATCATGGGAAAATATCAAACTTAGCTATCTTTTCTTTAAAACTATCATTTTAATAGGGCCTGAAAAACAGGGTTTTCCTGTTGTGAATCATGTGACATATTTTTTTACATGATCTACATACCATAGATAAAAAACTGAGAAAATTTTTAGCTTTATAAAAAGTTTTTTCAAAAAATTTAAATAATTTAAAATTATTATACATCAAATATTTTAAGTATGCTTAAAATGTTAACATAATTTAGAAAACAAAATAATTGTAGATACTTTATAATAAATTTATATATATTAATAAGAAATATTTTTATATTTATAGAAATAATTGTAGATAATTTTATAATAAATTATTTTAAACCAAATTAATTGTTGATATTTTATATCAATTATTTAATAAATTGATTGCTAAAAAATTGAGCCATTGCTAATATTTAAATTAAAATAAAAACTAAAATATAATTTATTTAAACACCTAACAAAACTTACTTGAAAAACAATTTGACTATATTTTAGTAGTTACTATCTGAGTATTAAAAAATGCATTTTAGAAAGTATTGTTTAAAAAATTTTTAATGCTATATATAATTACGGTTCTTAAATTTCTTCTCTTCTTAACAATAACAAAATGTTTACAAAGATATGATTACAATATTAAAACTACATTTTTTATTATATTTGATGCAGGTAAATATAAATAAATTTAAATACATTGTAATAATATTGTTGCTTTACAACAATATTGTTACAATATTCAGGGTGTTAGCCAGAAAAAAATTCATACAGGGTTTTTGTAAAATTAGGAATTTAGGCGTAAAAAAAAAAAAAAAAAGGTCATTACATTCTGACATTTAAAAATATAATAAATTTTCAATTTTTGCTGGGTTACATTCATAGAAAAAAATATTTTTCAACTTTATAAATGTTTAATTATAATTATTCAACTTGTTTCATTTTGATAAATCTTCTTAGATTTTAATTTTTAAATCGCTTCTTTTCTTTGTTTGATATAGTAGAGTGAATGCAAGTTTATAATGAATATATTATTAAATTTATTCATTGAAACTTTGATCTATAACTGAGTACATTGCTTAATATAATTACGTTGCTTTTAAATACAGTTTAAAAAATTTAAACGATTAGTTAAATATATGGTTTTTTTTATTTTTATTTTCATTTTTAAATTATAAATGTAAAAAAAAAGTAAAATTTAATTTTTAACAAAACATTGTTGACAATTTCCATGATCCTCTTGTTACTTTTCAAACTGCTAAAACAACTTTTAAAAGGTTTAACACTGTATTTAAAAGCTTTTTACTTTTCAAATTGTCAAGACAACTTTTAATTGACAACTGTTGATAAAAATATTATATATTATATGTAGGATTGCTAGAATTCTGGCTTTTACAAAGGAAAACACAGTAAAAAATATATATATATTTTTACAGGTTTGTACTCTACTTCGTAAAGACCAGACGTTTGGCAACCCTAATTATGCGGAAAGATTTTGAATATTTAAGTATTTAAATACTTTAGTATTTTAAAACTAAAAATTTGAAAATACTTAAAATAAATTTTTTTACATAGGTATTAGTATTATTGTTCATCATATTTTATATTAAAAATTTTATCATTAGATAAATTTAAAAGTTAAAAAACGTATTTAAATCAATAGCTTTTAATTGAAAGTTAAATGAATGTTTTTGAATTCTTAATAACTTTCAATTAAAAAACTTGGTTGAAAAAATTAATTGGTTGGCTCAACGATTTCCGTCAAATATAACGATTGTTAAAAGAACTATTGTTGCAATAGGCTACTTAAATTTAAATAAGTAACTAAGACATTTAAAGGTGAGATTCTTTCACCGCACGAGGGCAGCAACTAAATTTAAGTGGCATATTTAAATCCCTAGAAAATTAAGTATTTAAATAAAAAATGTATTTAAAAACAAAAACTAATTTATTATTTTTTTGAATTTACAAATATACATTAAGTATCAATATTAATGTTTTATTTGTAAATTAAAAAAAAATAATTAATTTACGTATTTATAAATATTGGTTAATGATTAATAATCTTATTTAATTACCTTCTTTTATGTTTTACGCTAATATAACATAGATAATAAGTTTCATTGCAAGTTTGATTTTTGATTCTCAAACTCAATTTTAACAAAGCGAATATAAGTTTATTATGTCATGTATAAGATAGTTGTAATAAATAAAAAAGGTAATATAATTGTTTTCAATTATTGAATTAAGATATTATTAGTAGCTTTTGTTATAATTATATTGTGTTAATAATTTTTAACGTGGTTTTAAATTAAAAAAATTAAATTAACTTACAATGCAGTATTTAAATTAACTTACAATGCAGTAACAATTAAAATATGTAAATTGAGTTCTATTTACATTTACTTTATGTTTGCTTTGTTTGTTAACATTTCACTTAGTATGATAATTTATTAAAATACCGTTAATAAAAAAGTATATTAAAAACTGAAAATTTTAATCATATTGTCTTTGATTACTTTATGGGCTACATAAGGTATACAACCAACCCTGCAACTATCCCTTGACCTTTTTTAAAGGCTACCTAACGTATACAACCAACCCTGCAACTATCACTTGGCATATATTCTTTTTCCAAACTCATATCATTTAGTATGCTACAAATAAATCACCCGAAAAAGGCAAAATAATTCAAACAGGTTGTGATCCTTTTACCTTTTTTGACACAAATAACTTACGATGTACTCCTCACACTTCCCATTCGTGAAGAAGGAGTTCCATAGTTTAATGGTGAACTTTGAGGCTCAATTTCACTTGTATTCAGTATGCCTGTACGACTGTTCATTGAAGTGTCAAGCACTCCATGGTCTTGTTGGGAAGTGTTAGGAGAGGCTGGAACTTCAGGAAGAGGCGAGCTTGGTGCGTCTTTATCTATACGCCTGCGCTGTGATGGTGGCTGTAAAGAAACATCATCTGATAAAGGATGCAAGTCTGAAGATTGATGTGCTGATCTTTCAGAAACCTCCGATTCTAGATTAAATGAAGCTATTAAAAAAAACAATTTATGAATTCAATTGAATAAAATATATTAGAATATATTACATTACTTTTAAATATGATATAAAATAAGTTATATTATATCTTGTATTAAAAAAAAACAACTTTATCTTAGAAGAGGATGATAATAGTTTTAATAAACTTTTCAGCCCCACATGACTGACAATATTTGACAAAAGCATGAAACAAGGTTTTAAAGTTTAAACTTGAACTCTTTTCAACATTTTTCATCTTTTCTTTACACATATTAAAAAAAAAATACTAAAAATGCATTTTATTTTATTTTAAGTCATATATCTTTAGATATTAAAGTAGTTGCAATAAGAAAATGTATTAAGCAATTTTTGCAATAAGGGAAATATCGATTTTAAGGCCAAAATCAATAATTGAAGATATATTTTAAAAAATTTAGAAATGCTGACAGTGTTGCAATAATTTATCTATTCCACATTTTTCTTTTAAACCAATGCTTACTCATTTACTCAATATTTATTTATTTTTATGTTGTACTATTTTTAAGATTTTTTTTTTGCACTGTTCACCTGTATTACCCATACCCTGTATTGGCCCATACCCAATACAGGGTATGGGCCAATTTTTATACCTCATGTCTTCATTATTGATAGCACTTTGAATATATTTTGTCACTTTCATATGTAAAAATGTATTTTTTATTTGTATAAAAATAAGTGATCCCATTTATGTTCTTTTTAGATTAATATGATTAAAGTTCACGTTAATAAATATTTTTATAAGAGGCGTGAACTTCCTATTATATGCTCATCCGCAGTGCATTGTGATAAGACCTGGAGAAATGACATCTGCAGTGCACTGTGATAAGAAACGGAGAAACATCATCCACTTGTGTCACTTTAAATATTTTATTATAACCAATATGATTTTTGATCAAATTAGTCAACGGAACATTGTTGAAGTTATCAGAGGAGCATCTTCTCATAAAAAATTCACCTTAGGTATATTTCTTGACTTGTCAAAAGCATTTGACACCGTTAACCATCAGGTTTTATTAGAAAAATTAAAATATTATGGAATATGCCACAAATACTGTAAATGATTTACCAGTTACTTAACTGATCGAAAGCAGTTTATTTCTCTAAATGATGGCTTTCAGACAAACAAACCTAAAAAATCATGCGGGGTTCCACAAAGTTTTATCTTAGGTCTGCTGCTGTTCTTAATCTATGTTAACGATCTAAAGAATCAAATACTATGTCTACTATTATGTTTGCAGACGACATCACTTTATTCTATTCTCACAGTAATATTATCTATTTCAAGTAGCAAATAATGAACTAGAACAAATGTCAAACTGGCTTATCGCTAACAGTTATTGCTAAAATAATTTGGAAAATCAAAGTTATATTATTTTTTGTTAAGGATTCCTAAGTACTCTAAAGTTATTTTTTATATGAAAAAAAATAAAAATTTATAAAGCATTTTATGTTTTGATATTGATATTATAGGTTTAGATTGTTTGACTGCTCACCTTGAGGCATGTAGAAATTTAATATTTTATAAATTATACTTGAGCTGATATATATAAAGTTGTTTTTGTATACATTCAAATAGATACTTGCCTATTTTAGAAATTAATTTTGATCGAATTGTTTTTTGTAATTTGTTATGTAGTTTATGTTGCTGAATACGATACATTAAAACTCACTTTGAAACATTACAGACAATCATACTCTGAAATTAAAATTCAAGTAAAAGTTTTCTAGTTGAAGCTATACAGGATGAAGAACACGACAAGCATTAATGACAGGAGTGCAGCAATTTAGAGGAAAATTCTAAGTTTAGTTCTCCTAGCAGGGTGTAAACATAAAAAGATTGAGGTTATGTGCTGCATTGTTCACACTTCGCAGCTAGGTAATGCTTTAAAAGAATCATACACTACTTAATTTTTAGCAAAGTTTTAGTATGTTGTGACAAAAATAAAATAGTCATAATCAGGCTTTCCCAGGAAAGGCGTGTGGTCGCACGCCTTGTTTGTCCACGCATAGAATAAATTTTTCTGACTAACTGACCACGTTTTATTATTATGCGTTTCAAGAATTCGCGCCAAAACAAAACTAAACGAAAATACCGCAAAAATGCAAGCAATCTTAAAGTAAATAACAGAAATCTGTTTGTGCTTTAAAATTAAAAAATTAATGTATATTATTAAAAAAAAAAATTTACCTATATTTTATTTATTTATTTTTTTAGGGTGGTAGTTATTTTAGCTATGAAAAATCAAATCAATAAGAAAAATCAAATCAAAAAGAAAAAGATTGTTTAAAGAAAATAAAAGGACCTTTTAATGTAAAACTTGTTTATGACTTTTATCAGTCAGTAATACTTTAAAATTCACGATAGAACTATAAACAATTTTTAAATGTTTTGTAAATACATTTGAATCTTTAAATGTATTGATTTAAATGTTTGAATGTATTGATACGCAAGAAAACACGAAAACAATTGCTATTTATTAGTAAAATATGTTTGTTTATTTTTCAAATAAAAGAAAATTTTATTGTCAAATCAAAATATATTGTAAATATTATGATCAAATAAATAAATAAAATATAAACAGAAAAATACTGAGAAAATCGAAACAAAACAAGTTACAACAAACATTACGAACAAAACAAAAAAATTTGCAAAAAAAACAACAGACAAACAACAACAACAAAAAAAATTTAAGATTAAAAAAAATAATAATAATACACGGTAGAATAAAACATATATGATAAATGACTAAAATGAAAATAAAAACAAACAATATACAACTGTATTAAAAATTTATATACCACTAAAAGTAATAAGTAAATCTATATACGCTAAAAAAACTGAAGAAAAATAAATAAGTAATAAAATAAATATGTTAATGATTTTAGAAAAAAAATTCTTAAAAGCGCAAGAAAAAGATGGTAAAAACAGACTAGTAGGTTGAAATGAATTTTCCATATATTCGGTCAAAAATCAAATTATGGCAAATCGGTTGAAATTAAAAGTCTGTGAAATTGAGAAAAAAATCGGTCGAAATAGAAAACGTCATAAATCGGTCAAATTAAAAAAGGCCTATAATTGGTTGAAAACATTTTAGGCCTAAGTAGAACATATAAAAATTATTTCCACTTTTTAGTAGATGTTTTATTTTGTAGATCAAGTTTGTAGGTTCAGGATTTTGTAGGTTGACTATTTGACACGAGAACATGAATTGGGTAAAAAATTATAAAATTAAAAAATTGTTCATGTTTGTTCAAAAACATAAAGAATTGTAAATAACTTAAATTTTCATTATTACTGAACTTTTAGATTTTTTATTTTGACGCAAATTGTTTTTTGTAAGCATATACTTTTTTAATAAAATTTACTTGGCTTCACTAGTTCTATATTAAGTTTTAAATTATGGTTAATTACAAGCTAAAAAATAATAACTTTAGTTTATAAAAAATGATTATACAGCAACCGCTGCGCAATAGAAGCAATAGACCTAGGGTCCGAAGAATAGAAGCAATAGACCTAGGGTCCGAAGAATAGAAGCAATAGACCTAGGGTCCGAGAATAGAAGCAATAGACCTAGGGTCCGAAGCAAGCTCTAGGCATATTTTGTACCAATCGTAACAAAAAAGGTTTGAACTTTCTAGTTTAATACTTTACTAATGTACTCCGTGGTAAAACTGTTAGATCTTCTCGAAACATTTAAATCAAAAAAATAATAATAATAAATAAATAAATTTTTTATAAAACTTGAAAAATCTTTAGAAATTTCTTTTTTAATTAAATGTGTTTTTAAAATCCAAATTCGTCTTTCAGTTAAATACGGTTTAAAAGTCCGAATTCATCTTTTAGTTAAATTCTGGCTACATATACAACTTAAATTCATCTTTTAGTTAAATTCGGTATACGAATATGATCTAAATTTGTCTTTCATATAAATTCGAGTCTTAAAAAGTCGACTTCGCCTTTCCCTAGTCATAACTTTTGAACGATAAAAGATTGTAGTATACAATTTAAAATTTATCAAAGAATATTAATTTAGTTAAGAGTAGTAAAAAAAATATTTTATCAACTTGTTGCTCACACGTATAAAGTAGTGGCTTTGCAAGTTTTTTTGCTTTTTGCTCCCAGACTACAATTATTGCAATATAGTCCTTATTTGACATAAGTCTAAACATAAAAGTGTTTACAGTTTGCTCCATGAATGGAAGTTAGCTCAAGTTATCTCAAATACCAAAATATGCTGGATCCAAACCCTTAATTTTGCTTATTATCCAATAAAAGTAATTGCAATATTTTAATTAAACTTATAAAAACAAGATTGTAAGAGTGTAGTTATTGTCAAATTTATAAAAATTATCAAAAACAATTCAAATTTCAAAAAATAAACCTAAAATGAAATAAACCTTCACTCAACCCAAATTTAAAAGAAAAATACATTTGTAAAAAATTGGATAAAATGACGACAAAAAAAAAAAGAAAAGAAATTAATTAATAAAATCATTGATCAAAATGTGATAATAAATTAAATGAACTTTTAAACCTAATTTATATATAAATTAATCAGTATTAAATTATCTTTTTAACAGTATATTGAGAGTTAATCTTTACTAAGTTCAAATTATTGTCTAATGTATATACATCAAATTATATCTATATAAGGACTTTCCAGTGATCTCTATACTTCAGGATTGTAGTTTTCTTTTAACTTATTCAATTGTAAAATAGGGTTATGACTTTTTGACTTTTTAAAAAAAAAATTTATTTCCTGTGTCATAAATTGATGAACTTTTATTAGAAAACATTGAAATTATGTTCAATTCCTCTCAGTTATAAAAAAAAGATCACCTCGCAATTTAAATTGAGTTTTGTTATTTATTTAATCTTGTTACTGCTACTACCAATACGTGTGGCTTTCCTGCAAATAATTTAAAACTTGTATAGATTAGAAGTGTTTAGAACTTTAAAACATTTTGGAAAATAACAGAATTTTTTTTTTTATTTTTTTATTTGCATTCACTCCCAACAAGGCTGCAAGCAACCACTATTAAGTTGGGAGTTACTAGGAAAAAAGAGAGGAGAGTTATAGAGCAAGGAAACGGTTGACAGAAGACTTGAAAAGTTGAAGGTTGTATGAGTCAGGAAAGCATGAAGGTGGGAGAGAGTTCCAAAGGATTGAAGTGCGGGGAAAAAAACTAGATGAATAAAAGTTTTTAGAGCATGCAGGGACAGATACAGTAAACGAATGAGACTTAGCTGAATAACGAGTAAAAAGAGAATGAATTTTAGTTGATGGAACTAGAGATGATAACTCCTTTGAGCAGTGACCATGATAGTATCTGTAGAAAAGAGAAAGAGATGCAACTTTACGACGATGGGAAAGAGGTTCAAGCTTAGCAGATAGTCCAAGTCCAACAACATTTACAATGCGTTTTTGGACCTTGTCAAGAAGAGAAAGTGAATTGTTAGAAGAACCGGCCCAAATATGACAACAGTATTCCATACAGGGACGAATAAGAGATTTGTAGAGGTAGAGAATAGAATCAGAAGTAAGGAAATGGCGAGCACGATAAAGAGAAGCAACCTTAGCAGAAGCTAATTTAGCAATCGATTGTATATATGGTTTCCATGAAAGGTCAGTAGTAAGCGATAATCCAAGAAGACGTAAAGAGGACGACTCAGTAAGAGGATTGCCATTCATTAATATAGGAATGTTGACCATATTACGGTAGTTGTTTGCAGTAAGCAATTGGGTTTTTTTAGAGTTGAAACTCACAAGCCACTGTGAACCCCAATCTACCATCGAAGTGAGATCAGATTCAAGATCAGCTGCTTGTTCTAGGCGATCGAAAAGAGAAGACTTTTTGTCAAGACAGGAGTATAAAGTTGAGTCATCAGCAAAAAGAGCTACTTTAGATGAAAGGTTGTCAGGAAGATCGTTTATGTAGATAAGAAACAAAACAGGGCCCAGGATGGAACCTTGGGGAACCCCAGATGTTACTGGAAATAAAGAAGAGTGTTGGCCTTCAAGGATGACTTTAATAAACCGGTCAGAAAGAAATGATTTGATAATCTCAAAAACTTTCCCAGACTTTAAGAAGACTTTAAAACATTCTGGAGCAATTTAGAACATTCTAATACAACTTAAAATATTTTGGAACATTCTAGAATATACCAGAACATTTTAGACTATATATAGCTGCTTATCTAATTTTATAGTTATTAAAGAAGCAACACATGGCACCGTACATGCCTAGAGATAGTAGCATTCAGAAGAACAAGAATGTCTGAGCCAATAATCTGGTAAAGTTTGAAGACTCTTATAAAAGAAGAAGAATGGTCCCTTTGGAAGAATATTTACTGGAAGAAAAGAGCAGAATGCCGCAAAAGCAAAATATCGAACGCTACCATTTCCTTGGACTAAAAATCAAAGGAAGAAAAGAGCGAATAACAGAAATTTCCAAAAAAGTGACTAAATTGTGGAAGAATAAACTGAATTTTCCTCATGTATCTGATCAAGTTATACAAGCAAATATTGATAAAATACTGAAATGTTATGATAAATGTGTCAAGTGGGGAAGCTAAGAACCCCTTGATGAAATTTTTGATATTACCAAAGTGGATGGAACATGGATATCTTCCGAGGACAAGCGATTGTACCATCTTCAAGTAGAAAGCAAAAGTAACTAGTAAAGAAACGATCTAGTAAAGAAACAATCCATCATTCTAAAAGAAAAAACTTTCTAATGAGTCATCCAACTCATCATCTTACTATCCTGGTTTTAGTGATTTTGACTCAGAGGCTGACAACAGTGAATATGAAAACAATGAAGAAGAAGATGAGGCAACTCCTACACCAAGCAGAAAACATCATAAAAGCAAAATTGCAGTCAACATGGTGATCTCCACAAGAGTATCAAAAATCAAAGCCGCTAACGTATGTAAGCAATTGACTTGTGAAAGCATTGACATCGGAACTCCATGTCAATCAGCTATTTACAAGTCAACAATCAAAAAGGCAATCAAGCTGAAGGAAGAAATGATTGAAAGTTGCATATGGGAAGTTGGTCCTTCCACTTTGATGGCAAGCACATCGACAGAATGGATTATCAAGTAGTTATCCTCAAAAATGAAAGAAGAGAAATCACATTGGATGTCCTTGGCTTGGTAGATGGCAGGGCATTAACTATTGCTCAAGGATTTCGTAAGTCCTCGATGAAATTCACCTTTGGAATTCATTACAGATGGTTGCAGATACTAGTGTTTACAATGGAAAAAAGAATGGTGTTGTTGTAACATTGCAACAAATGTTCACAGAGAAACGCATCAACAAACCTCAGTTGTCAACACCATCTATTAGATAGAATCCTCTGCTTGGTGATGGATGAAGAACTTGGAAGTAAAACACAATCGCCAAACATCAAATATCCATTTGTATCTCAACTGTTGAAAGAGTACAAATAACTGAAAATACAGTTTGATAACGGAACAGAAGTAATTCTCGAAACATCAGGCTGGAGAGATGATATGAAACTTTTGTTTCATCTCACTCCAGTGTTTAGATTTTTTTGAGGAAAAGGGACATTTTCAATTGATTAGGTTTCAGAAAATATCCAACATCAACAATGCAAGGTGGAACTTCAGAGCTATACTAGCGATCCTGGACTTCATTTTAATTCCTTCAACAAGGACGGTTCTGCAAAGAGTATGTCGGTTTTTATCGTATGGCTGGGCAGACCATTGGTTTACAGACCAACTGTACAACGAAAACGACTTTGATAACTTGGCTGAAATACTGAATCCATACAAAAAGGCTTTAAGCTCTTTAAAAATTCACTGGAAGCGAGAGCCATCCATACTACTGATACACTGAAGTAATGAGCAGAACGCGCAATTAAGGTAATGGAGAAAAATTATTCATCATGCAAAATTAAAGACAAATTGCACCGTCGATTCCTTCTGTGCAACAAGCAAGAGCAAGGTCGACAGTCTGAGTCATTGTTGGATTGAAAATTTATTTTATTACATGACTATGACATTCTAAATATATTTGAATAAATAATAGTACTCATGTCAAAATCAATTTTTCAATGGCAGGATCAACTTTTATGAAAAGATATGCAAACAATAGTTCATTTTGTGCTTTTTAGGTAAAAGTTCATTAAACTACAGTACAGGAGCATGGGGTTGGCAAAAATTCATAACCCTATTGTATAATGAATAATTATCTTGATTAATAACATCTGCTTCTAAACATCTGGGTTTGACAAATATTTGACTAGATGAAATCTACATTTCTCTTTTCAATGATTCTTTTATAAGTTGTTACAAATCAACTAATTGTTTTACCCAACTGTTTTCTACTAAACTTAACTACAGTTTAAAAAGAAATTAAATTAGCACCCTGTTTAGAAAGAGCTTCAATTGCTAATGTGAGTGACTTTAAAGAAATAGAAAGTTACTAATTATTTAAAGTTAATCTTTGAAAAAGAAAATTAAATTTTCAAAAATATTTTTATTTTCTTTTGAAGGGAGCCTACAGTTAAGGCTAATCTTTTTTTTTAAGTTTATTTGCAACTCTTTAACAACCTCCAGAACTTAAACTTTGTTAATCAAAGCAGTTTTGCAGGAGGTACTGCAGGAGGTAAGAGGTGCAGGAGGTACAGTTTTGCAGGAGGTACCAGAGGTGTATGATGATTGTGGATTGTATGTTTTACCACCTCCCTACTGCTTTAGTGATCTAAAAAACAATTTATTTTATTTTCTTATTTTAGACTCTTGAAGTTCAGCATTTAATGGTAGCAACAAATCTTAATAACATAATTGAATATTTTGAAAATATTGTATAGAATTTTTATTTTCTTTCTCTTTTCATTATTATTAGGATGATTAACAGCTTAAACAATATCACCAGATTGATTTGATAACGTAACATGTTTTAGTTTTTGTTTTTTTTTAAATACAGATAAATAATTTTACAAAATTAATTTTTAAAATTTTATAATTATGAATGGTTGTAAAATTTATTCTAGATTAAGCATTTAATCTGCACAAGATTTTATGCGAAGTTTTGAATCCAGAATCAAAAAAGCAAATCAAAAGCTTTTAATTCATGGAAACAAGAATTAAAGGTTTTTTTCTAGTTTCTACAACTTACAAGGCTGAGATTTGCATTAAAAAATGTCATTTTTATGCTTCATTTATGAGTTCTCATAAATGAAGCATAAAAATGTTCAGGTTTTTTATACAACCTTGCAAACTTTACACTTTGGTTGTTGCAATTGTAAAGAAAATTTAAACCAAGCCTAAGTCTCAAATTATCTAAATGGATATAGATCCTAAAAGTAGAAATTTGTACATCAATTTTAAAATATCATTAAATGACTTAGTGAAAATAAATATTAAATGAATTTAATGATAATAACTGAATGGACACAATACTACAAATGATGTCAAAAAGTTTATATTATTAGAGTTGTTAAAATAAACGCAGCATAAATGAGCCAAAAATGATGGAGAATTATTTGAGTGCCACAATAATAAAAAAAATATTTAATATACAACTGTATTTACAAAAACAGTGACCAAAATATGCTTTTTTTTTATTTTGAAAGTTAAAACTTTTTCGTTTAACTTTATATTTATTTCAAAACAAAAAAATGAAATTATATGAAAACTTTTTTAAAAAATCTTACGCGGAGTAGTAGTTTTTGGACGTTTTTTAGTTTGTCTGGGAGTAGTTGGAGCCATATCTTACTAGAAGGTAGAATAAAAGATAATAAATAGTACAAGATGATGTTTTTGCAAATCATTACATTTCGCGCGAAATATTTTGCAACTTGATTATCCCGACTTGCAATTTGAACAGTCATTCCTCTATAATTAATCTTAATTAATTGTATAATTAATACAAATAAAAAAATTAGTTAGTTTTAAATTTGTTTTGTTGCAGATATTATAGCTATTGGGGGAATATAATATGTATTTTATTAAATTGATGTTTGTTTGACTTTTTTCAAGCATTGAAATATTTGGATTGGAAAAAGCCCGAAGGAAATATAAACGATTAGAGTCATGAAACGTTTTCCAATACTTTACAAGTATGTTAAACTGGAAGAACGAGAGTACAAAAACTAGCCTTGATTTCAAAATTTTATTTGGTAAAGTACAGAATAGTTGTAGCAACCAACAATTCTAGAAGGCAGGCCACCGTTGCTTCTGAATAAAGCAACAAAGCAATTTTTTTTCCTTTCATAACTTTTTACAAATATAGGAAATAAGTTGCAGGCTCTAATTTCTATTTTTATTTCTATTATCTCTTATTTATTTAAGTGTTTAATTTGTTTTTTGCAAAAAATTTAAAAATAACCAATATTTCGAACGATAACCATGCTAAATGTCATGTCATGCTGTCTTGCTGTATGGATATTATTGATCAATGGTAAGCGTTAATACCCTTATGTTAATCTATCAATGTTAAATACTTTTAGTTTTATTAAAAACGTCTGTAATAAAAAATAAAAGAATTACGCAGCAGTCTATAGCGAAACCATGTTTATAATCACAAGACAAAAATGCAAAAAAAATTATAGAATCTAGAGATTTTTTTTTTCTTTAGAGAGAAAAATTGCCAAAATTAGTTTGGGTCAAAAAATTGATTGTTTGACCCAAACTAACGGTTCCCCACCCACAGTGGAAACATTCCGTTAAGAAAGATAGCTAAACATTTAACTCTTATATTTATGTTAATAATAGGTTTTATATAGTTAAAATAGAGACTGGTAATAGTTTTTTTATATTTGTATTTTATAACACAGTGAGAGGAGAAAAGGGTGAAGATGTTTAATCGTTAAAGAAATGCCGATTGAGAGTAAAGCTGGTGACAAACAACTTCAGTAAGCTTTTATAATTTTTTTTGAATTTCTCGATTTACTTTTTTTTTTTAATAATAATAAAAAGCAAAATGACTAAAATCGATAATTTTAACAATCCAACAAATAACTTTGAAAATTTTGTATTTCCTATTTTAGAAAACATAAAACCTCATGAATACAATTTTATAAATAATTTAAATTCTAAACACCTAGCCAATAAATACTATAAACCTGATAAATTTATTAAAGATAAAGTCAAAGAAAATTTTAGCAATTTAAGTGTAAATATACTCTCTATGAATAAAAATTTTGAACCCTTTTAATTATTTCTATTACTCTTTAAATTATCTGTTTGATGTAATTTCTTTTTCGGAAACATGGGAGGAAGCGAATATGCTTTTGTTAGAAAATTCTCTTTATAATTTATCATTTTATAAATTGATTAACCAACCGCGAGTGAGCAGCATTAGAGTCAGAGTTGTTATATATAATCGTGAAAAATTTGAATTAAAAAAAAAAAGTTTAGCAAAACAAATAAACATATCGAAACCTTATGCATAGAATTTTTGAATAAAACTAACAAATCAATACTTATTTCCTTATTATATCGACCACCTTGTAGAAATCAAAATAATTTTATTAATAGCTTGAAAATCATAACATCACGAATATGTATTCTGATTTTTCAATTATGTCACAAGGCTCTAAAACATGGACAATATGGCTTATAAAATCTCTATAGAATTCTATAGAATTTTTATATATTTTCTGTTAGCTTTTTTTTCTACTTTTTTTTTTTATAGAAAAAAAAGTTTTATTGCAATTTTTAGAGAAATTAATAGACATTCTATAAAGGTTCTATAGAATTTCTATAGTCCATATGTTTCAAAAGTTTATAAAAGATTCTATAGAACTCTTTTTCCTGGGCTCCCAGGAAAAAAAGTTCTATAAAGCTTTATATATACTTTTGAAACATATGGCCTATAGAAATTCTCTAGAATTTTTATAAAGTTTCTGTTAACTTCTATAAAAATTCCTATTGAAATTTTTTTATCAACTTTTTTTTTTGTTATAGAAAAAAAAGTTTTATAGCAATTTCAAAAGGAATTTATAGACACTCTATAGAAATTTTATAGAGATTCTATAGGCCATATGTTTCAAAAGTTTGTAGACAATTCTATAGAACTTTTTTCCTGGGCTAATCTTAACTATGTTCATCCTTAAGTCTTTCAAAAAAAAATTTTTTGAATATAAATATGGTCTGAATGTAAATGTCGAACAAGTTTCTCAGTATTTTACCTTGCATGGTGTTTAGCAAGATTAAGCTGCCTCTTCCCTCGTTTAACCAAATGAAACTGGTAAATTTATGATAATTTGTGAATGGAAGCTGGGATTTTAAACCAATTACCTTTTTCATTAAAGAGGACAAAAACAAAATCACTTATTTTTTATAGCATTTTCAATTAGGTGTATATTGAATGTGTTTTACTAATCTATATAATAAAAAATTACCAATTAAGATAAACTGGCGTTAAAAGAAATTTGATCAAAGTATATTGAAAACTTAATGCCTAGAAGCTTCATTTATTATGTATGTCACATTCAAAATCTCAGCATTTTATTTTTATTTTAGTTTGGGTGTTAGCGGCAAAACTCATTTTCTCTATCATGTTTATAGTAGGGGAGAGTTGCCTTAGTTGGAACACTTTAGGAATAAATGTTTATTAACCAAAGATGGCTTAACTATGAAAACATGAATGATTTAATTATACAAACAGACAACCCTACTATACTTTTAACCATAATTTGACTTGATTGATAGCACTGTTATTGGAAATAAATTTATTTTGCGAAGCTACTATTTTGTTCCAATCAAGCAATTGGTTCTTTAAATTGGAACACTTCGATTCCTTAATCAGAACAGATTGCGTTAAAAAAAAACAAAAACCCAGCAAAATCAACCAAAAATTGATTTAAACTGATTTTATCTTTGCAGTGAAAATTTAAACAGTTTATTTAAAATTTACAATAGGATTTATATTACCCTGACAAACTGAAAATCTACCAACAAAAAACTGTAGTAAAGCTTCAACTGTCACAACGTCCTCTTAGTTTATTGATAAAAAATCACTAAATAAAGTATTTTTTTAAAGTTTATGATTGTAATTAAATATTTTTAAATTGCACTTGAACTATTTCTGCAAACCTTTAATTTTATTACTGATTAAGTAAAGTTTATAGTTCCAATTATGGAAATTTTGGACTATTTTGTTAAATCACTACAATACCATACTTGCAGCAAATTATATGATAAGTTTATATTGTTATTTTGAATTTTAAATCTCATCGAATCAAACAAAAAAAACTGTATAAACTATAGCAATAGAATTTACCCAACGCAATCAATATAGTATGAACACAAAAGTAGATCACCAAAAAAAAATGACGCAAAAAAACTTTAAATCAATGGTGCACATGCATTTTTTGAGCAATAACTTTCAAAATGTGTCAAAACGTAGAATATAAGACGCTTTACTAAAAAAAAAAGTAAAATATAGCCACAATTCTTTTTCTTTCAAAAATAAATGCAAGTGTTCCAATTAATGCAGCTCTTTACTATTGCAAAAAAATAGTGAGAAAATATTTATACTTATTTGTTATAAGTGTTTAGTTGTTACAAAGTGGTTATTAAGGTGCTCACTAGGTTATCACTATTAAAATATTTGACAGTCATCTTAATGCAGTGGGTTTTCTTGAAAATCACTTCTTTTTTTATTTTTTGATTGTTTTTAAGGTCCTTCTAAAAGTTCTGACGGTCTTAGACGGACTGACGGTCGAGCGAATTTCGAACCTCTTGGTTCTGAGCCAGATAAAATTACAAAAATAAAGAGAAATTAATAAAAAAAAGTATTTTTAATTATTTGCATTATTTTCTAAATGTAGATTTTTAAGATTGCTAAAAGTCACTGAATTCGCAAGCCCTAGTTGCAACAGTTGTGGCGTTCACTAATAGACCACAGGCTATCTAACTGTATCGTTCAGTTTCTTGAGTTCTAACCGTTTTACAAATTATTAGGCGTTTTAAGGTATATTAAATTAATGGATAAAATTTATCAGCTTGAAAATGCGCATTTTTTTAAGGTATAGCTGTTTTAAATTTTAAAATTTCAATCTTATCGCGTGTATCAACTCCTTTACACCATTTTAATTTCTAGCCAATTTAATGTTTGTGTATTTTACAGAAGACAATAAATAAAGACATGAAATCTGAATTTTCAAAAAAACTATATTTCCTAAAATACATATCAACAATGTTTTTGAATTCAAATCAAATCAAACCAAATCAAATTTATTCTGAATAAAAGGCCTTACATCAAGGATATTTAAAAATATTTATGATACTAATCTGAAGTAAACACCTATAAAATTGAATTTAAATAAATAGTGATAAAAATAGTAATTAAAATTAAGAAAAAAAGTGATAAATATGAGAAAAGGAATAATAGTAATTGTGAAAATAAAATAAAGAAACCACAAAAATAAAATTCATAATAACAACGGCAATAATATTAAAAATAATAAGAATTTAATAATAAAATTAACAAAAATGTCAATAATAATAATTATTATTTATAATAACGGTAACAACAATAATAATATAAAAATAACATGTTATAATTAAAAGTATAATAATAAAAAGTAAATACCAATTACTTGATATTATTAATAATATGGGAATGAAAGCAGTAATTATTTAAAAGTATGTATATGTCTACAATAATATTATTAATAAAATAATAATAATAATAATAATAAGGAACAACACTAGTATTATCAAACATATAACAATAAAACAATAATAAAAGTAATAACAATAGTATTCTAAATATAAAAAATGTGAGATATATATTCATGTATATATACCTATATAAATATGCACATAAACACACACACTTGCATATATATACATACATATAC